ATCTCCCGCCAGCCTGATCAGTTCCAAGATACGTAGCTGCTCGCTTGTTGGAAGAAGACTCAAACCCCAATCTGTCAGCAACCTTGTCACCAACACCAGATTCGGAACATGCGATTGAGAGCTTGTTATTGAACTTGGCCCCCAATCTCGTCGCAGTCGTCTGGAAACTGCGACCAACCCTCACAGCCATCTCGACCAACTCATCTGTAGTATCCGCTTCGATGCCTAAGCTGCTGTCGTCAATGTAAGACGAAAAATGCAGTTCACTGTGCAAAGCCACGAATCTGTCGTACTCCTCCAACGCATGTACCTTGATCCCCACATCCGCATATGCATCACCCGCTGGGAACCCTCGCCGAGCGTGGACAGGTTGAAGGCAATGGTGCCTCATCAATCGAATGATTCGTGGTGCCGACCAAGTATTGAATAATAATTTCGTCAAACACGTGGGAGCTCCATATCTAGAAAACTTCTCCCTCACCGTAACTAAGTCAATGGTCTCATAATACTTGCTATAATCAGCAATGATCTGCAAGCTCTTCCTTTTATCATGTACGCAAGCTTCGACACGAGCAGCAACTTGCCACGCAGAATCGATAGCGGATCGGCCCGACGAGGCCCCCCAATACACACGGCGTAGGAGTTGCTGGAGTGGTGCAAGCTCAGGTCGACGAAGCCGTTGCCATACACGATATATCGATCCGTACAAAACAATAAGTCGATGTCCTCCCATCGGCTTGGGAAGCATAGGCATGCAAATCCATAACATCTGCTTCGGTAACATTCCCAAAGATTCGAATGCTTCGAACAGCATGCCAAGGATGCCGAGGCTCTCATCGCTCAAGAGCAGCATATGTCTAGGATGTAGACCGTCCAGAGACCCTGCAGTTGATGTGGAAAAAGTTTGAGCGACGGCCCTGATGTCAGCAGCAGTTGCTCTCGGAAAGGAACTCCTGTCTGGTATCCATGCTTTGGGCGCCTCGGAGCTAGCATCCCGCAGCAATCGATACTCATCTGCAGTAGTCTCGACAACAGCGTGTGGATGTGCAGACGGAAGCCCGTCCGCGGTGACCACCGTCGTCTCGTTGACCTGATGATACTGCGTAATCTTGCGCAAAGCTCGTGCGCCTCCTGCTGCAGCTTGATCGCACCAATTTTTCCAACGTGTTTGAGATTCTCTTCCAGCTGCCTGCTTCGCAAACTCAACGTCCTCGTCAATTTCCTCAAGGAATTCAGCAATCTGCTCTGGAAAGAATCGACCTGCTACCAATCGTATCGCCTGTGTCACACCTGCATCCAATCTCGAACATAAATGTACCCCAGGATACGGTGACGTCTGAAAACGCATCAGCTCGTCGTCAAGCATCGCAGCTTTCTCCTCATCGCCGTTGCTGGATGCCTGCTTCAACAGACTGAGGCCTTGCAAAGCATCCGAAAGCCACTTCCATCCATCCGCTTGTGCAGAAAGGCCTTCCGCATCACTGCCATTGTAAGTCACATCGACCCACTTCGGCTTGATGCAGCGCGCATACGAGCCAGGACACTTGACTTCCTCACCTGTCATGATACCAATTCTCTCAGCAGCTCTGGTGATGAAACTTCCCCAAGCCAAGGTAAGAAAACCCCATGCAGCATCCGAAGGTGACTCCTTGGCCATCTCAACCGCTGTGGAAGCATACCTACGCTCCAGTGACCAATCAAAATCCTGTTGGGCGGGCCCAAACACCGCGATTGTGGGAAGCTTTGGGACTGCAGCATACGTCAATATCTGAAGTCGATGTCCGTCAGCAGCCAGTTCGATTTGCACAGGGCGGTGTGGCTTGGTTTCCCACGTAGCATCAACCTTTATCTGCTTCAGTAATCGATGTGACCCCACACTGAGACAAAAGAAATCAATCGTACTCGTTGATGATGCCGTCCTGCACGTGACCGATGCTGGAGCAACAATTTGCACTTGGGCAGCCCTGGCGAACCCTGAAGACTCAAGTGCCGCCTTGTCGAGATTCCAGTCACCACCGATGATGCTAGGCGAGGTGAGCCCAGCAAGGGACTGCCCAATGCAAGAAAGAATCCTTGAGTTGCGCACAGTCAAACCCTCAGAACAATGAAGGTACAAATTGAAAATATGCATCTCTGGCCAACCTGGCACATCAACCACCACATGTAGCGCCCTGTGGGCGACCAGAACTCCAGAGACAGTCTGACCATCAACTTGAGGGCGTCGAAGACCAACTTCAGCACGTGCGAACACAGCCACTCCCGCAGAGGGAAGATGGCCCTTGGTCTCATGCCCTGGTCCAATGATAACGCTCCAGCCACGTCTGGCAGCCCAAGAGGAAATCTCCTCCGCATTGTGTGAAAAATAACCCAGCTCCTGTGCCAACACGATTATGGCTGAGGTGCGTTGCAATCTGCGTTTCAAAGTCTCTCGACCTTGATTGGCATTGAACGTTTCAACTAACCGAACCTGCTGCTGGCCAGTACGTGGTACGGGAGCAGCACGCGTCTTACCTTGAACAACAGATAATCCACTCACCAATGGACGGTTGCTAAAGGTCCTCTTGATCATCACCAACTTTGCGAACTTTCGTCTTCTGGAGTGCGTTGACCATCTCTGCAAGCTTAGCGGGTCGTGTCTCTTCGCTCTCCTGCTGCAACTTGGTCCACACCTCTCCAGCTTCTGACTCGGACAAATCGATCTCGGGTGGTGGTCGCTTCTCGCCAGCACCTCCACCTGCAGGCCTCTCAGCAGCAGGAGGAGCCACAGGCCCAGCATGAGTCCTGCCCTCCATGGGGTCGTCGACCGTCCCTGCGGGGGCAACGCTCTCGAAAATGATCTGCTGGAACTTCTCGAACTTCGGATGTGCGCTGAGGTCCTTGAACAACTTCTCAAGCTCGGCGTCCTCAGCGCGGATGAGGTTAGAGCCCAGCTGCTTGATGAAATCCTCGGGGACTCCTGCAGCTTCAGCTCCTCTGGGACTTCGCTGCTTGCGCAACTTAGCCGCCGACATTTCAACTTCCACTTCGAGTAAATCAACTTCCTTTGACTTAGCCTCGAGTGCAGCTTTCTTGCCATCCAGCTCATTCTGAAGTGATGACAACCTTGCCGAAAGTTCCGATATCTCATACTCCATCTTCGTCTTCTGGGACTTGCAGCGTTCGAGCTTCTGGAAGGCCGCCTTGTGTGCCGACACTGGCGGGCGCATGGCTCTGTGCTCTTCACGAAGCTGGTCCAGTCTTTTCTTTGCCGCTGGCAAGTCAGGATCGTCCTCGTCCAGCTCCTTCGTCTGCTTGACGAACTGGTCGAGTACATCAATGCGCTTCTGAAGCGCAGCTCTCTTGGCATAGTCCGTCTCGTTACCGTCGGGGTCCTTGGCCGTCGTGTCACCTCCGTCACCCTTGGCCGCGACACCCTTCTCAGCCTTGACTCTCTTGAGCTCAGCTGATAGAAACTCCATCTGCTTCTGCATCTGCTTATACTGATCACTCCACGGTGCTGGAGACTGCGATGCACGTCGAGGCGCCGACGCAGGCTGCTGCGTCGCCTCTCTCGCAGCCTTCCTCGCCCGTTGGATGAATACCGTAGGTGCATCCTGTCCGCATCTGCACTTGATGCGGCTCGCCCAATTCGCCGATGCTCCGCAGGCTGGGCACCCCCATGTGGGCTTGCGGGGGCCTGGTAGTACCGGCCCCGCCATGAGCGCCATCGGGGAGGTCCTCTCGACCTCGCCCACACAACACTCGTATTCTCCGTCTCAACAAAAGGGGGTTGCTCCTGCAGGAGCTCACTGCCACAATGGCTCGCTGCGGCGGTGCCGTTCTGAAGTCTGCCGCAGCAAGCTCAGGACACCTGAGCCAGAACGGCTATGGGGGCGGAGCAGGAGGAGGAGGAGGAGGAGGAGGAGGAGGGGATAAAGAGGGAGGAGGAGTAGAAGGTGGAAGAGGAGGAGGTGGAGGAGGGGGAAAAGGGGGAGGAGGAGGAGTGTGGAAAGGAGGAGGAGAAGGATGATGAGGAGGAGGAGGGACGAGATCTGAGGGAAGAGGGGGAAGAGAAGGAGGAGGAGGAGGGAGGTGGGGGGGGGAGTAATTAGGAGGAGGAGAACATAATAGAACAGAACGACTCTGGGGGACCGAATCCATGAGTCACCTCATAGCGCCAAAAAAGTTGGCCCCTGAGTGGCCTGCGCAGGCAGCTTCACTCGGCGTTCAGCCTCTGCAGGCACGGACAAGCGCTCGGGCCCCAACCCGCCCTGTGGCGCGGGCATACGCGCTTAAGGGGGGCGGTGGCACGGCTCATTCCCACAAGTCAGACAGCCATCGAGGCAATACAAGACTAGCAAAACATTACCCCTGAGACTTCGCCCGTGGTCTAGGCTTTGATTTTGAATTCCTCCGCTCCTGAGCCGTAAACCGACGAGTCTCCTGACCTGAGACTCTTTCCAGGAGCTGAGTTTCGACTAGTCGGAACGGCTGAGGGGCCCCCGAGGAGAAGGAGGCAGCAGCCGCAGCAGCAGCAGCACTCGAAAGAGGAGGAGGAGGAGGAGGAGGAGGAGGTCGAGGAGAAAAGTCTCCCCTTGCCGCCAATTCTTGAAGGCGTTCCGAATTCGCAAGCATCGACCTGCGCGAAGCCTCCCGAGCGATCAGGGCGACCACACGGGCGCTCGCAACCGCTGAGGCTCGCCGCTCGGCTGCGTCCCTTCCTTCCCCCCCCCCGTCCCGAGGAGGAGGAGGAGGAGGAGGAGGAGGAGGAGGAGGAGGAGGAGGAGGAGGAGGGGGAGCAGGAGGAGGAGGGGGAGGAGGAGGAGGAGGAAGAGGATGAGGAGGAGGGGATGGAGGAGGGGAAAAAGGAGGAGGAGAAGGAGGGAGGGAGGGAGGGAGGGAGGGAGGGAGGGAGGAGGAGGAGGGGCAGGAGGAGGAGGAGGAGGAGGAGGAGGTGGGGGAAGTTCTCCTCCTAGGCAGCAGACGCGGGGGCGGGGAGCACGGGAGGAGCCCCGGCGGGCCTCGCACCCTTGGCATCCTCGTTCGCCTCGAAGAAGGCGTACGCCTCATTGGGCAGCGGCCGCTGCCTCCTCCTCCCGGACTGCCCCTGGCAGTCGAAGCGCGGCCACGAGAGCGTGGGTCAGAACATCGGCCTCCTCCTCCTCCTCCTCCTCGACCTCCTCCTCGACCTCCTCCTCGACCTCCTCCTCATCCTCCTCGACCTCCTCCTCGACCTCCTCCTGGACCTCCTCCGGGACCTCCTCCTCGGGGTCCTTCTCCTCCTCCTCATCGACCTCCTCGACGTCCTACTCCTCCTCCTTCTCCTCCTCCTCCTCCTCCTCCTTGGCCTTCCTCCTCCTCCTCCTCCTCCTCCTCCTCCTCCTCCTCCTCATCTCCCCCCTCCGATAACAAGAACCACGTGCGCGCGCTCCGCGCGCCCTCGAGTTCTAGCGCAGTCCATGCCGCTGCTGGGAAGCAGCGCAGGTGCAGCAAACCTGGGCCTGCGCTCGTCCTCCCCCCTCCGGGTCCCCGTGTCGTTCTGGCCGGCCGCCTGAGGCCCTAGTTGTCTTTGACCAGAGAAGGACCCCTGACCTTTTGAGAGGGGACCCAAGTCAGGAGGGCCAGGGACAACAGGGGCAATGGGGTCTGTTCTGCAGGTCTATCGAACCAAAGCGCCCAGAATCATTATCCCTGATGCGAAAACAGGGACCTCAGTGAGGCTACGTCTTCATTGTGTTATCAAGGTTAGGGGTTCTTTTACCCTCAAAGAGTTTATGGCCCCGAGAACCAAGTGGAGTGAAGGGAGATAGGAGGGAGATGCGGGAGGAAGGAGGGGGCTCTTGGGAAGCCTCTGGGACCCCACTGGAAGCCAATTGAAGGTCTCTGGGGCCTCTGGGAGGTTCCATGGTGCGCATCGGGGGCGTCGCCGGGGCCTGTTGGAGGCTGGCTGGTGGTGCTGGACTCTGGAGAGATTCCCTCGAGGCCGCCTTGGTACGTATTGGGCCCTCTTGGGGTGGGCCTCTTGGGCCGTCTCGGGGCCCTCTTGGGCAGTCTTGTGTCTTGGGGCTGCCTTGAGCTGGGCAGCCGTGACGCCCTGGGATTGGCTCAAGCATGTCGGCATAGCCGTGGACGACGACCTGGCTGGGACCTGGGTAAACGTCCTACTTCAAGTCATGCCCATCACCCGCCGCAACGTCCACCTTTTCTGCGAATCCTACTCCTTGCTCCAGGGTGGAACCGCAACGATTCAGTACATGAGCCAGCGCATGGGCGGCGATAACCCCCACATTGGCACAGGCGAGCCAGATGCACACCGGGATCGAACTCGGCGATGCCGCTCGGGGACGTCTTAGAGGCGGTGTTGATGCCTCTTGGTGTCTCCTGGTGGCCCCTTTGGGCCCCATCGTGGGCCTCCTCGGGGCCTCTTGCGGGCATCTTGTGGCCCTCTTGGGGGCGTGCTGACGGTCTCGAGAGGAAGGGTCGAGCTCCCCCTCTTGTGCCCATCTTGGGCTCCCACGTCTTGGGCTCCTCCAAAGGCCCTCTTGGGCCGTCCCGGGCGCCTCTTGAACCGTTGAGGGACCCTCTCTTGGGCCGTCCTGGAGCCCTCTCCCACTCTTCGGTACATCTTGGGGCCCCGTGGCCGCGTCGGAAATACTCTGGGCCGTAATGTGAACCTCAGGGCTCCCGGGGGGAGGGGTAATTTGGGAGTAACGCAAACGTGTGGGATGGACCCTGGGCTGGAGGCCATCCCAGTATTCATCTATATATAAATACATATATACATATATACATATATACATATATATGTACGTGTATATGTATATGTATGTGTGTGCGCGTGTGTCTCCCATCCTCTGTTCTATCCTCTTTTTGCATGCAGCATTCGGGCGGAGGGCACCAGCAGTCTCAGAGAAAAGCCGATACGGTGTCGGCTGTCTGCGAAAGCAGACAGCGTTTCAGAAGAACCCAGATGGTTCAGACCACACGGAGGGCTAATGAGAAGAGCCCTGGTGGCTCAGACCACCCGGGGAGCCAATGCGACTTCCAAACTCGAGGCCTCAGCTGCCTGCATAAGCAAGCCTTTGCTGAGAAGAAGCCCGACATGGCTCAGACCACACGGGGGGGGCTGATGAGAAGGGCCCAATGGCTCAGACCACACGGGGAAACAATACTGCTTCCGACCGCACTGGTAGGCAGCGAGAACATGCAAAGCTCAAGAACGTCCGTTGGGGTTCCTCCTATGGGTCCCCTCTTGTGGCGGTCTTGGAGGCCTGTTGGGCCGTCTTTGGGGGCCTCTTGGGCCGTCTTGGCGCCCTCCTGGGCTGTCTTGTAGCGCTCTTGGAGGCCTGTTGGGCCGTCTTTGGGGGCGGTTTGGGGGGCCTTTGTGGCCGCCCTGGAGGGTTGGAAGTCAAAAAAAGCTAGAACCCTTTTAACACCGATGGGAAATCATAAAACATGCCCAGTGAATCTCTCTTGGGGGTCCTCTTGGAGCCTTCTTGGAACGTCTTGGGGGCCTCCTGGGCCGTCTTGCAACGTTCGTGGGACGTCTGGGGGGCCTCTTGGCGCCTACTCGGCGCGTCTTCGGACCTTCTGTGGTCGTGTGGGAAATAGTTACTCGGGACCGTCTTGGAGCCATGTGAAGCCCTCCAAGGATCCCTGGGAGAGGGTGATACGGGCGCAACCTGGATGTTCCAGAGGTGGCCCGGGGCCCTGGCACTTGGGACCCGGCGATCATCCATATCATATACACTTACACATCTACACACTGCAACGCAACCGCGAGGAGGACCCAGCGCAACCTAAGAGGGGATGACCGAGAGCCGCTCAAAAAACTGGGCGAAACCATGCCGAGGGTCTCTTTGGATGCATTCTGGGGCCCTGCTGGCGGTCTCGGGGGCCATCTTCGGGAGGCGGAATCGCTCTGTGAGTTCGGGTTCCTCCTCTTGGGTTCCTCTTAAGGCTCTCCTGGAGCGTTCTTGGGCTGAATTGGGGGCCCTCTGGGCAAATAACTTCTGGGAGTCCGACAGAAGGCCCACTGTCCCCCTGGGCGCACATGTGTGAACCGTCCAGGGCCCGGGCCCCTGAAATACTCCAGCATACGATGTGTCGAAAAACGGCAACAAGAGCACTGGCTAAGGACATGAGCCCCTTCTCTGAAGACCAAAGGATCCACGGATGTGCCCCGAAGCGGGCACCACTCCAAGGCGCAAAACGCAAACACGAACAGCATGAGGGTAGCGAACTACCCCTTCCGAAACTGAGGTTCGCATGGCCCCTCGTGCCGAGCCGAGCTCATAATGTATGCAGGCGATTATACGCTCCAGGGCCCTCTGTCGGGCCCCCTGGGCATAGGTCGTTTAGCGGGATCGTTGTTTCACCCTCCCTCTTGCAATTCAGGGAGCGAAGCGAAGTGGGGCGCGCACATCCGCGAAAGCGGAACCCTTGAGGGTCAGCGCGGGGGGTCTGAGGCCCTTACGCCGTGGTGTCCGTGACCACCTGGCCCGAAAAAGGCTCGTAATGAAACCGTTGCATGTGTGATAACCCCACATGCCCTCTGGGCGTAGGTGGGTTACCGAGTTTTGTCTTCTCTCTGCCGGTATTCCTCCTTCACCTGCTCGGAAGAAGGGACCGCTCCTCCCCATAACACCCCCTCCTGGGCCCAGGGGGCGGGGGGGCGCGAGGCGCTAGAGCCCCCAATATCGCCAAAGATGGACCCAAGGGGGTTCCAGAGAGCCCACCATGGCCCCCAGGATGGCTTCCAATACCTCAAGATGGATGAAGATAGCCTCTGGCAAATATCCAAGAGTGCCATTGACGGCCCCAAGGCAGTTTGAAGTGCCCTCCGAGCCCTCTAAGAAGAAGGCCCCAAGAGAGCCCCAAAAGTGGGCCTCAAGACAGCGCCAAGAGGCGCCGCGAAGAGCCCCAAAATGGCGCCAAGAGAGACATCCGAGAAAAACGCTCCCAAAGCGGACGTGGCACTGCACGCTTTTGCAATTCTCTGATCCAGTGAACGTTTTCCTATTCGGCGTTTCGGCATTGGGCGGAAGAGGGGGTGAAGGGGGGGGGATCTGGCTCTGGACCTCTGCTTAGCGCGACTGTTTTCAGCAGTGCGTCCGATGGGGGAGGCCTCACCTGCTCGAAACACGCGCCACGAAAAACACCCAAAATCTACTCCATGGGAGTGGTCGGGGGGGCCGCCGGGGCCGCTGGACCCGCTGGGATCGCCGGCTGCGCCGCCGCCCCCGTTCCCCCCCCGCGGCCCCGCTGCCCCGCCACGCACCCACCCTGCCCCTCCCCACCGCCATACGTGTCGCCGCCGCCGGCATAAGATCCGCCGCCATAAGCACTGCCGCCATACGCAGCGCTGTCAGCACCGCTGCCGCCGCCAGGATGTGCAAGTGGATCTCGAGTCCCCGAACTCGGAATCCGAGGGCGAGACCGAGGGCGAGGCCAGGGGCCTAGCCGCGCCGGACCTATCTAGCGCCCACCAGCAGCAGTACCCCGCCCCGCAAAAAATACCGCCCTGGGCAAAGCACCACCTTGCAGCAGCGCCACGTTTCCTGAAGAGGGGGGTGCGAGGGCATGCGCCGATCGGCAGAACAACGAATAAGAAAACGATCGCCAAGGCAACTCGCCTGGCGATCTGCTTGAGAGGGATAGTTCTGTTTGTTTGGTCCGCGGGCGCGCGAGGACGAGTCGAACGCCGAGCATGGTAGGGCGGGCCGCGCACCGTAGCTAAAGGAAAAACAGCGAGGCGAGCGGCAACCAGCGGGCGGAAAAGGGAAATACAGCAGCGCCGCCCAGCCCGCAAGCAGCCGCCAGAAGAGCGTGCCGAAGACGAAGAGCACGAAGACCAAGGGCGGAACCACCCTGGCCGAACGAGGAGAACTTGAAGCGCCCCGAGAGCACCAGGCGAGTGGTGGACGAAGCTAACATGGCGCGACAGAGCTGAAACGCGGAGGAAGAGGTGGTACACCTTGCCGCACGGGTAGATCTTCACCGTGCGCGAGCACAAGAGTGGGGATGCAGCCAAAATGGCGCGGGCGAAGGCCCCTCGGCGGCCAGGGTGTGCGGGTAGCGGTGCCACTCAGTCATAGGCACCCCAAGCCTGTAAAGGTCGGAGAAAACGCGGTCGACACAACCCCAGGGTAGACAAACGACATGGTCGTACATGTAAGACGGTGCGCCACACCTGACCAGCGTCGGAAACTCATCCGGATAGACGCGAACGACGTATACCCGAGGGCGGGAGAGAGGGACAGGTTACCAGGTTGGACAAAAGGCCAACCGTCACGACCAATTCCGTGCGCCCCGCGTGCACGAAACTGGAACCTGAAGATGACCGGCGGCTCGGAGGGGATACGCGAAGCCTCAAGACCTTGTCCTACCAGCCCGTGCCACGCGCAACTGCCGCAGGCAGGTGGCAACCACCATCGGCAACCGGCGTCGTCGGATGCTCTTGTGTTGCTTGCCACCACACTCTCTGCGACGCCAAGAATCTGACAATCCCATGGCCCCAACTTCTCCGCTGTCCTCCAAAAAGAATGACCGTTTTGAGGATGGGAGCTTTCCCGCCGAGAGCGCGGATGTTGGGCAACGCGGAACGTGACGACCTCCGACCGTGCTCGGGGCGCTCGCCCAGGAGGCCGTTCCCCCCCGGGCACGGTGCGTGTTTGCCCCCCTCGGCTGCCAGCTCAGTCCCTGAAGGCGGCTCCAAGCCGATTTCGCTGTGTAAGAAACAGCTCCCCCGCCCCTCGGCGGTGACGGAGGGCAGGCGGCAGGGGTGGGCGGGTTACTGAGCGTTTTCCATATTCGGCGTTTCGACATTGGGCGGAAAGGGGGAGGGGGGGGGGGATCTGGCTCCGGACCTCTGCTTAGTGCGACTGTTTGCAGCAGTGCGTCCGATGGGGGAGACTCGACCTGCTCGAAACAGGCGCCCAAAACACCTAAGATCTACTCCATAGGGGGGGGAGAGGGGTGTGCGAAGGCCCGTGCCGATCGGCAACAAAAATGAATGAACAAACGATCACTTGGCTGGTCGGGCTACTTGGCGGGGCTGGTTGAGCTGGTTGGGCTAATTGGTGTGCTGGCTAGGGCAACTGGTTTCGATCCGCTTGGGGCTCCTGACCGTGCTCGGGGCGCCTGCCCGGGGGGCCGGTCCCTCACAGTAGGGTGCGAGTTGGTGCCACCTTGGCTGCCAGCCTGGTCCTCAGAGGGCGGTTCACAGCAACATTCGCTTGGAAGAACACGCCCCCCCCCGCTGTGATGGTGACGGATGGCCGGCGACGGGGGTCGGCTGGTTGGTGTGGTGTCGGGGGGTTGGGCTGCTCGGGCTGATAAGCGGGTTTGCGGGTTGGGTGGTTGGGCTGGTTGGGCTGGCTGGTGTGCCGGCTAGGTGCTCGGGCAATTCTTCACGACTTTATGCCAAATTCACGCTCCCAAGGCCAGCATTCCTCGCAAATCATGCCAGGCTCGCGCTCCCGACGCCAGACTCTTGGGTAAAGTGTGCCAGATTCGCGCTATGAGAAGGAAACAATGCGTTCAACAACAAACCCAATATCTGAAGGTGCTGGCCGAATGCCTATCGTCCTCGCATGATTATCCCAGAGGTTAACAAAGCAGCGCCGACACGAGAGGGAGCCGGCGGCAGAGGGCGAAGCCCGCACGCACGGTCATTGTGCAACGGCCCCGCGGCACAGCCATGGCCCCCCGACACCGACCATGCCGCCCAGAAGGACATGATGTTCCAACCTACTTTGGCCTGGCTCACCTGCAATAATGTCGAACACCTCACTGGAAGCACCGAGCCTGGAGGGTTTTCACGTGTTGGGCCATGGGAGGCGATACTCGTTCGGCACCTCGCCAGAGTGTCGGGGCAGGCACTGTGTCGATACCTTTCGGGGTGCTCGACATCACTTCTGGGATGCGGTCCTTAAGCGCGATGGAGACAACACAACTCAGGACACGCTTGCTCCATGGCGATCATAACCCCCCCCTCGACCTGCCCCATCTGCACCCTCCCCGCGGAAGGTGCCACCGCGATGCGGGAGATGGGAGGGAGCGAGGAGGGGAGGGAGGGAGGGAGGGAGGGAGAGAGGGAGGGAGGGAAGGAGGGAGGAGGAGGGAGGAGGAGGAGGAGGAGGAGGAGGGAGGAGGAGGGGTGGGGGCCCACGACCTGTCCCATCTGCACCCTCCGCGCGGAAGGTGCCGCCGCGATGCGGGAGCGGCGGCCGCCGCGGCCGCCGCAATGCGGCTTTGACGGTGGCCGCCGCTGCGGCACCTGCCGCGCGGACGGCTCGGAAGGCGCAGGTCGAAGGCCCCCCTCCTCCTCATCCTCCTCTTTCTCCTCCTCCTCCTCCTCCTCCTCCTCCTTATCCTCCCCCCCCCTTCTTCCCCCCCCCCCTCCTCCTCCTCCTCCTCCGCCTCCGCCTCCGCCTGCGCCGCCTCTTCCTCCTCCTCCTCCTCCTCCTCCTCTCCTCCTTCCTCTTCCTCCTCCTCCTCCTCCTCCTCCTTCTCCCCCTCCTCCCCCTCCTCCCTCCCTCCCTCCCTCCATCTTCCTCCCTCTTCATCCTCTTCCTCCTCTCCTTTTCCTTCCTCCGAGTCGGCCGATCCGCGCCGGAGGGCCTCATGGACTTCGCCGTTGTCCTCCATGCGCCCCCCGGGGACGGGGGCGCGCGGCGGCAGCGCCCGCGGAGAGTGCTCGGGCCGGTCGCGCCACCCTGTCCAGGTGACGACCTGCAGGGGCACGTAGGGGGCGACGGCGTCGCGGATGTCCTGCGGGAGGGGCGGGGGGAGGGCCAAGGGGTGGCGACGCTGGCGGACGTGTTCGGCGCTGCGCGCTGGAGGAGGAAGAGGATTATGATGATGATGAGGAGGAGGAGGAGGAGGAGGAGGAAGAGGAGGAGGAGGAGGAGGAGGAGGAGGAGGAAGAGGAGGACAGCTTGGGCGCGAATGCATGGGGGGAGAGAGAGGTGCCCTTTGCGGCGCTGGAGGCCCCCTCCTGGGCCCCAAAGGGCTTCTGTGGGGGCCCTGGGGAGCCCCGTCGTCCTGCAGCCCTCGCTGCCCCCCCCCCCCATTGGCTCGCCCCCGCATGACGCGTCCTCCGAGCAGCAGGTGGTGGCTGGCGGCCGGGGCCCGGGCGCGCGCGGCTCGCGGGCGAGCGAGCGCGGCCCGCGGTGGTGCGGCCCGCGAGCCCAGGCGGTGCTCCGGGACCCGCTTCCCCGGGTCGGCACACGCCTGGGGCGGGCCCTGTCGCGAAGCCTGTCGAGCCATTCAGAACCCCCGGCCCAGGCCCGGGTCAGCGGACAGTCCAGGACCAGCAGTTTGCATGGCGTCTGACTGCTGCTCTTCAGTAGTTCTGGAGAGCCAGTTGCATGAGACCTGAAGGTGCCCCCAGGCACTCGGGGCCCCCGGGGGAACGAGTAGAGGCCAAGTAAAATGCGTACGTAGAAGTTTGCAGAAATCCACGCGGATTTCTGGGATACGTGCTGGAACCCCCTCCTTGGCGCGCGGAGCGTGCCAAAGGCGGCGCCGGTGACGCCGCCGGTGATGCCCAACGCCGATCCGTAAAAACCGCTCGGCTCTCCACAGGTTGATGTTTATGAAGTGCTTTCGATTCGAGGGAGGCTCCTAAATCTCCGACAATGATTTAGCTTCCGCTTCATTCTCCCCTTCTTCGTTGGTCAGCTTTCGAGCGTCTCTCGGGCCGCTCCCTGCCCCACCGCGGGGCTGCGACGGCAAGCCGCCAATGTAGGAAGCGCAGCGGCGCCACAGCGAGAAAAACGACGAGGAGACGGTGCAAGCATGTCACAGGTACAGAAGCTGCCCGCAACACCCAGCGAGCCTTCTGCTTCCCTCCACTGTAGGCCCGAATCGGCTGTTCACCTGGGGGGGAAGAGAGATGTGGGACCGGGCGGAGGAACAATGCACACACACACACACTGCATAAGCAAACACATTCGGGGGTCCGCGCATCAGCAGCAGCAACAAACGTAACACCATCAACCTGTCACACGTCCGCCACATTGCCTTCAGCAATTCCTGACGACGCCTCAGTCTCCTACAAATGTGCATATTACTCAATGATTAGGTGAATATGGTAAACACATGAAGTAGGCACCCGTTGGAAAGATGTTGGATCTCGTCCCGCCCACTGAACGCGACTGAACAAAAATAACCCTTCAACACTTGAAATAGGAAGGCAGTAAAACGGAATCTAAGAATCCAAAAACCCACCAAGGTGACCCTGGCACTTGTATTGGTTGCCCCAAGGCTTACAGCTGTGCTGCCGCTGCAGCCAGGCTTGTAAATTCGTCAAGGCCCGGAACTCTGGAGTTCCGGGTCATCTGAGGTCTTCGGGGGTCTTCTAGGGTTGGGGCGTTTCCTGCCAGCCCTCTGCACGCTGTGCCCGCGCTCCCGAACCTTCCGATGTGTCCAATTTTTGTCCGGTTTGCCGAAAAATCGTTCCAAGACGCCCAAGGTAACCTCCAGACGCACTACGAAGTCTCCAAAGCCGGCCCAAGAGGCCTCCAAGAGCACCCCCAAGAGGGCCCCTCGAGGCAAACGTAATTCATTGTCCGCCGGTGTTTGAAGGATTGGGGCGTTTCTGATTTTTCGGGGTCCTGACACTCCAAAACAGCCCAATTGGCCCCCAACATCGCTTTAAGACGGCCCGAGAAGCTCCCAAAAGGGTGCCGAGACGGCCCGAAAAAGGCCCCCAACATGGCCCAAGAGGCGTCCAAAACGGGGTCAAGAGGTCCAAATAACACCCCAAAGCGGAACCACGAACCGACATTTCAAAGCCTCCGCCCCGAACTGCCCCCAGGAGGCCCAAAAAGGATCCTAAGAGGCCCCCCCCAAGAGGCGTCAACACTGCCCCATGGAGACCTCCAAAGCCTTTTTGCGAAGCGGCCACAACAAGCATCATAAGGACTCTCACCCACAACCCGTGCACAAAGACGGATGGGCCGGAAACCACTCTCTCTCTATATATATATATATTCAACGACGGATGGTGGAAGGGATTGCACGATTTGCCCAAGCTCAGGCCACCACGATTTGGCAGAAATCCGGGTCGGTGCCGGGCGTTGTCGGCGCTTGCCCCGTGGCCTTCCTGGAAGCCCCCGGGTCAGCTCCAGACCGAGTCACGCCCCCCCTGGGCCTCGTAAGGAAAGTGAGTGTATATGTACAGATAGATCTCTATAGAAAGAGAGGGAGAGAGAGAGATATAGACAGAGAAAGAGAGAGAGAGAGAGAGAGAGAGAGAGAGAGAAACAAAGAGAGAGAGAGAGAGAGCGAGAGTGAGAGAGAGAGACAAACAGAGAGAGAGAGAGAGAATGCAGGGAACCAGGGCCTTCCCACGTTTCAACGAGCCCGGGAAAGTTCGAGGAACGATCAACATTCCAACGGACGTTCCAACATCCCCCGAATGCCTCCCAATTAAAGTTCAAATGGCCGCGTGATGTACCCAACACATGTGCATCAACGGAAAAGAAAAAAGAAGGCCAAACTTGCATGGACACCGACAGTGCAGACGTTGCCGTTCGTGGTGTCAGCTACGCGAGGCGCCCACAGGCGTGCCGCCAGGTCGGTCAGCGGAAGGGCCGCGGCAAAAGAAATCAAGGCCAGGGCCGTGTACCATCAGCAGTTTGTCCGCCGTTGCCGCCCTGGGAAACATCACTTGGAGATGCAGCCAGAGGGCGTCTAAGTCCGCCGCGCCCTTGCACCTGGCATTCCCAATGACTCCGCGGTGCATGGCCTGGCCCTGGCAGGCCGTGGACGTCAAGACTTCGGCGTGGGAAATGAAGTCTAAGCTGGATCCGCCGTGGGGCGCCACTCTGCTGGACCCTCCCAACAGCCCGCAAATCGCAGCCCCCCATGGATGGCGAGGTCTAATCTGGATCCGCGGCGGAGCGTCACTTCGCTGGACCCCCCGGTCACCCTCGAAAATGGCGAAAGCTCAGCAAATCGCAGCATCCCAGGGCTGTCGAGGTCTGATCCTGATCCGTAACGGGGCGTCATCCCGCTGCAACCCCCAGCAGCCCTCGAATGTGGCGACGGTTTCGCAGATCGCAGCCCCTCAGGGATGGCGAAGCTCATTCTGGATCCGCGGCGGGGCGTCACTCCACTGGACACACCAGCAGCGCTCGAAAAGTGGCGACAGTTTAGCAAATCGCGGTTCCCCAGGGATGGCGAGGGTCAATCTTGATCCGCGCCGATGGGCTCCCCAGCAGCCCTCGAATGTGGCGGCAGGTTTGCAAATCGCAGCCACCCCAGGGATGGCGAGGTCGAATTTTGATCCGAAGCTGGGCGTCGCCCCGCTGGACCCACTGGCAGCCTTCGACAGTGGCGACAGTCTCGCAGATTGCAGGCCACCAGGGCTGGCGAGGGTTCACTTTCGGTCTGCGTGGGGCCTGACTCCGCTGGACCCTCCTCCAGCCCTCGACGAAAGTGTCGACAGGTGTGAAAATCTTCATCGGCGGCGGGGCGTCACCCCGCTGGGCTCCTGAGCAGCCCTCGGATGTGGCGGCAGTTCCGCAGACCGCAGCCCCCCCAGGGATGGCGAGGTCTAATCTGGATACGCGGCGGACAGATCGCAGCCCCCCCAAGGATGGCGAGGTCAAACCTTGGGTCCGCGGCGGCGGGGCGTCACTCCGCTGGACCCCCGACACAGACCTCAGGAATGGCCACAGTTTGGCGAATCGCAGCCCCCCCAGGGATGGCGACGTTAACCTTGGTCCGCCCAGGGATCCCCGAGGCAGGACAGCAGCAGGAGGCAGAGCAGCAGACAGGTAGGAGGCTAAAGGAGGAGGGAAGCGGGAAGGAAGGAGGTCGCGACCGCAGCGTTCCATTCAAGACGAGAACCCAACGCAGGAGGGCTAGGACAAGCTCAGGAACCCGTGTCATCCTCCGGGGCCGTCCTGGATGCTCTCTGGGCACGCCCAGGGAGCGACTCACAATATACTACCTCGCAACGTACACAATCCATCTGCACTAAGTGACATGAGGAACTGGTCCAGAACAGTGTGGCAGATTACAACGCAGGCTCTGTCAACGGTTCTGCAAGGTGTATATGGGAAGGCACGCGAGATGATCGATCTATAGGACAGCAGAACAGGACGAGGAGTGCGGCCCCAGGCTCGAAAAGGAGGTTGGCGCGGGAACGAGGGGGCGGAAAAGGATGGAAGAGGGGCCGAAGAAAAGTTGACGCGAGAGCAGCGCTGTCTCGGCGAAGCAGGGAGAGGACGGCAACAACACAAGCAGGATGACGAGAGAGGGTTGCGGTCATATCCCAGGGCACGCTGGACAAGCAGCGCGGCCCGCGCCATCTCGCTCTGGCGCTGCAGAGTTCATACAGCGAGTACAGAAGAGCGAACTGGGGACCTCCCCCACCAAACTCCCCGCGTCTTTCTTGCGCCGTGCAGCGCAGGAGCTACACGCCGGCAGGTGCGCCGCCAAGTCTTGGGGACCCACGGGAAAGAAGATCTAGGCGAATGTAGCTCCGCGTAACAAGTCAATATGTTGGAACCCCCCAGCAGCCCTCGAAAGAACGCGGCGAGAGTGTCGCAGATCGCAGCCCCCCAAGGATGGCGAGGTCTAGTCTGGATCCGCGGCAGGGCGTTACTCCGCTGGATCCCCCAGCAACCCTCGAAAAAGGTAGCGGTCTCGCAAATCGCAGCCACCCCAGGGATGGCGAGGTCTGATTAGGTCTGCGTGGAGCCTCGCTCCGCTGGACCCCAAGCAACCCTCGAATGTGGCGAAAGTTTCGCAGACCGCAGCCCCCCAAGGATGGCGAGGTCTGATTTAGGTCTGCGCGAAACCTCACTGCGCTGGACCCCCCCCCCAGCAGCCCTCGAATGTGGCGACGGCGTCGCAGATCGTAGGCCCCCAGGGCTGGCAAAACTCAGATTCGGCATGCGTGCAGCCTCACTCCGTTAGACCCCCCAGCAGCCCTCGAAAGCGGCGACGGTTTCGCAGATCGCAGCCCACCCCAGGGATGGCGAGGTTTAGTTTGAAGTCTGCGTGGGGCGTCGCTTCGCTGCGCCGTGTAGCGCGAGAGCTAAACGCCGACAAACGCGCCACCATGTCTTCGGGACCCATCGGAAATGACATCAAGGCTAATCGAAATCCGCGTAGGACGTCGCTAGGTTGGACCCCCCAGCAGCCCTCGAACAACAATTTCGCAGATCGCAGCCGCCCAATGATGGCGAGGCCTAGTTTAGATTCGCCATGGGGCGTCATTCCGCTGGACCCCACAACAGCTCTCGGATGTGGCGACGGTTTCGCAGATCGCAGCCCCCCAGGGATGGCGATGTCAAGGTTAGGCGTACGTGGCGCCTCGTTTTGCTGGATCCCCCAGCGTCCCTCGAAAGCGGCGTGAGTTTTGCAAATCTCAGCCTCCCAAGGATAGCGAGGAGGCAAGGTAGCAGGCAAGTAGGAGACAGGGCGGAATGCAGGTAGGAGGCAGGGTAGCAGGCAGGTAAGAGGCGGGAGGGCAAAAGGATGAGGGAGGCGGGAGGGGGAAGGCGCGACCCCATTGCACTATTCAACAAGGGCTGGGAAGAACTGAAGGTTGTCTATGATCGCAAGCCCAGCTTCTAGTGTTCGGAATGCCCAAATACGGCCCAAGTGGCTTCCAAGAAAGACACCCATGACGGACCTAAATGCCCCAAAGATGTCCAAAGAGACCTCCAAGACGGTCCCAGTACGTCCCCTAGATCCCAAGGCGGCTTCCGCCTTCCGCAGGCCTTCCTGCTCCTCCTCCTTCCCCTCACTCAACCCCTTTCGCCATGGCCATCAGAAACTATTGCGCATCAGGCATTGACTTCGCTAGACATGGCAAGACGTCTGGCAACGGCGGCGCAACAGTAAGCCTGGGGGGCACCGGGGTCCTGCTCAATGACGCTATCGTTCACGAGTTTGGCGCCCGCACCGAGGAGGAACTTGATGGTCTTGCGAGCGCTTCCGCCAGGAAACTTAACCGAATTAACCATATACGCACATATATACATATATATATATATAGATATGTGCCGCTGAGCCAATTCGCGCCGACACATGCTGCAAGGACACGCGCGCCAGCTCAGAGGCATGAGCACGCAGGCAAGCATTCAGAGTCACGCTCATGCGCGCACGCACCTGCACCACGCACTTTTTACGTCGGCAGCTGCACATATACATACACACACACGGACGCACGCACGCACGCACGCACGCATGCACGCAAGAACGCACGCGCGCGTGCAAACACAAACAAACAAACTCACAAGCTCGGCGTCGAGACTGCACGCGCAGCGACGCGGTGAATTCCGCAGAACGCAAAACAACACACACACAGACGCAAACACTTTGTCTCCTCCAGCGCCCAAGCGGCACCACCACAGCGAGTGCTAACGCGGGGCACGCTGAGCTCGAATACCCGGATGCGGATGGATGTTTCGATCGAAAACAGGCGCATGCAGACAAAACGCGGGGCTCACCTCAATACCACATGCAGCGGCGGATGGGGATATGGATGAAAGCTGACGCATGCAAACACGACGGGGGACCGCAGCGTGGAAAACGCCAGGTGGGCCACGCAGGTGCCGAAGCAAGGCGCCGTGCGGTGAGAGCAGATGCAGCCGAACCGAGGCGCGAGGCTGAGAACACGCGCGCAAACCGAACAACCGTTGGTGAACTGCGGCCCGGCTGCAAGAGGGGGGCCGCCCGACACACCAAGAGTCCAGGCAGTCACGACGGAACAAAGGGATCCGGAAAAGGTACGTCGGCCACAACCCCAGGTCCCCCAGTACGGATTGCAGCAACCGTATCATCACGGAGCGTGCTAGCCTGAGAACCGTATGGGTGCGCCGCGGCGTTGCCCAGGTTTACGTGGGCAGCGCCAGGGCGCGAGGCAAAACACTTACCCTGCGACGTGCCCAACCTTTTTGCAGTAAGTGGCACGAGCAGCTGGTCCGGGATAGGTTGGCAGATGATTGTTTGTGCTATAGCGGAAACGCACGCGCGCTGCGCGATCCGCAGGGCAGCGCAACAAAAAGCTGGGCCTGCGGCCCCAAGCTCGAAGAGGATATGGGGGTGGGAACGAAGGCACGGAACAAAAGACAAGAGGGGCCAAAGGATTAACGCGAGAGCAGCACTGTCACGGCGAAGCGAGAGCAGGACAACCACGACATGAGCAGGGCGAGGAAAAAAAAACGGCGACCTATCTTTCCCAGTGGCACGCTGGACAACAGAGCGGCCCGCGCCAGGTCGCTCTGACGCTCCACAGGGCCGGCTGTGCATAGCTAGCTCAAGACACGAGCGCCTTCCTGATGCACGCAGCGCGGAAACTAAACGCCCACAGGTGCGCCGCCGTGTCATCGGGACCCGCGGGGAATGGAATCAAGGCTTATCAGAATTCGCGCAGGACGTCACCGTGTTGGACCCCCCAGCAGCCATCGAAAATGGCGACACTTTCGCATATCGCAACCCCCCTGAGGATGGCGAGGTCTATTCTGGATCCGCCGTGGGGCGTGGTGACATGTTCGCATGTCGCAGCCCCCCAAGGATGGCGAGGCCTAATTTAGGGCTGGACCCCCAGCGGCACTCGAAACTGGCGACAGTTTCGCAGAAAGCCCCTCCCACAGGGATGGCGAGGTAAAATTAAAATTTGCGTGCGGCCTCGCTCCGCTGGACCCCCCAGCAGCCTTCGAAAGTGGCGATCGTCTCGCAGATCGCAGGCCCCTAAAGAAGGCGACAGTCTCGCATATCGCAGCCTACAAGGATGGCGAGGACGAATTCAGGGCTGCGTGGGGCCTCGCTTCCCTGGACCCCCCAGCAGCCTTCGAAAAAGGCGACCGTCTCGAAAGTCGCTAAGTAGTGAGGTTCCATTCCGGTCTGCGTGGGGCTTCGCTCCGCTGGACCCCCAAGCAGTCGTCAAAAGTGGCTATCGTTTCGCAGATCGCAGGCTCACGCAAGGATTCAGGGATGGCGAGGTTTAGTTGAAGTCTGCGTGGGGGCCTCACCCCACTGGACCCCCCAGGAGCCTTCGAAAGTGGCGATCGTCTCGCAGATCGCAGCCCCCCCCCAGAAATGGAGAGGATTAGTTGAAGTCTGCGTGGGGCCTCGCTTCGCTGGACCCCATTGCAGCTCCCGAAAGTGGCGACCGTTTGGCAGAGCGCAGCCACGCCGCAGCCGCCCAGGGCTGAAAGGTTCAATTTCGGTCTGGGTGGGGCCTTTTCCCGCTGGACCCCCCCGCGGGCCTCGAAAGTGGCGGCGGCTTTGCAGATCGCAACCCTTCAGGGATGGCAAGGTCAAAACCTAATCTGCGTGGGGCCTCACTCCGCTGGACCTCCCAGCAGCCGTCGAAAGTGGCGACGGTTTCGCAGATCACAGCCCCCTTCAGGGATGTCGAGGTCCAAGCAAGGGTTGCGTGGGGCCTCGCTTCGCCAGACCCCCCGGGCAACCCTCGAAAGTGGCGACAGCTTCGCAGCTCCCAGCCCGCCAGGGACAGCGAGGAGGCAGGGCAGCAGGCAAGCAGGAGGCAGGGCAGAAGGCAGGCAGGATGCAGGGCAGCAGGCAGGCAAGAGGCGGGAGGGAGAGGGGAGGAGGGGGGCGGGAGGAAGACGCGACCCCAGTGCCCTGGTCAAAAACGAGAACCGACGCAGGAGGGCTGGAAAAAACAGAGAAGGGGCGCAGACCCGGGGTGTGACAAGGGCGCACGACCGCACACACGCACGCACGCACGCACGCACGCACGCACGCACGCACGCACGCACGCACGCACACACACACACACACACACGCACGCACGCACGCACGCACGCACGCACGCACGCACGCACGCACGCACGCACGCACGCACGCACGCACGCACGCACGCACGCACGCACGCACGCACGCACGCACGCACGCACGCACGCACGCACGCACGCACGCACACACACACACACACACACACACACACACACACACACACACACACACACACACACACACACACACACACACACACACACACACGCTCTTTGCACGTCGCGGGCTGGGCAGCAAGCCGTCAGAGAGCCACCGCCTCCGCGCGCGCTGGCACAGAGCGGAAGAGAGCCCGGCGGCTCCTCACGGGGCAGTCCCACACCCCCGACGTTTGGAATTTTTCACGACGTCGACCCCCAGAGGTCTGGACCCCTTCCCCTGGGACCGGCTTTCCATTCTGAATCGCTCTTTGACAGTCCCGAGGCCCAGCGAGGGCCCCTGGAGGCCCAAACAGCGAAAAGCCTCCCGTCGTGACTTTCTTTCACAGCGCGAGGAGGCCTGGGGGCGGCGGGGGAAGGCAAGCAGCGGGGCCGCGGCGCCCGCGGGCCGGCGGCGGGGCAGCGGTGGCAGGGGCGGGGGCGGCGCCGCCGAACTGGCGGCGCCAGTCGGCGGCGGGGGCAGGGGCAGCGGGCACAACGGGGAGCGGCGGCGGGGCAGCGACCGCCGGGCCAAAGGGGCGACCGCCAGAGCCGCGGGGAGGCGGCGGGGCGGCAGCCCCCGGGCGCCTGCGGTGCTCGGCGCGGGCGGGCGGAGGCCAGAGGCAACGAACCCAGACCTCCTCGCGTTGTGACTAAGACGGAAGGTTTTTCAGCACTTTCGGCCTCCAGGGGCCCTCGCCAGGCTTCGATACTGTCAAAACAACGACTCAGGATGGAGAACCGGTCCCCGGGAAGGGGTCCAGGCTTCTGAGGGTCACGTCATGAAAAAATCACGACGTCGTGGGTGTGGGCAAGTGGCGAGAGGTGTTCCGGCCGACAGACCAAGGAGGCGCGGCGTGGAGGGGGCGGGACCGCCCGTCGGCGCGGCGAGGGCCCAACAAGGCGTCAAGTGGGCGGCAAGCGCCAGCAAAGTGGGAGTCGGTCGGCGACCGACGCGGCAACGCCGTCACTGACGACGCGCCGACAGCGCGAGGCAGCGGGGTCACGGCAGTGGGCAAGCCTGCAACTGCCCTGGCGGCAGCTGGCTGAGGCTGGAGGCCTGCGCAAGCGAGGCAGCGCCGAGTGCGGGGATGAGGGTGACAGAAAGCGCCAAAGCGAGGCCGCACGCTGCTGCCCGTGGCCCCGACCCTCACGAGAAGACCGCCTCTGGCGATCCGCCTGCCGAATAGACGGAGGGGCGCGCGATGCGGCGAAGGTACGGCGGCAGGGGCCGCGGGGGCAGCGAGGCGCCGGGGCGAGTCGGCGCGGGAGGGAGAGGACGGCCGACGATCCTCACGGTAAAGCCGCCTCTGGCGACCCACCAGCCGCGCGACGCGGCGGCGCGGCATGGCAGCGGGCATCTCCATGACGGTGCAGGCCGGCAGGCGCCGCGGCGGGGAGGCGAGCCGCCAGCGCGGCAGTGCAGCGCGGAGGGGGGCGAGGCGGCGCCCCGAAGCCCTCGGCCGAGCCTCGCGATAAGGCCGTCTCTGGCGATCCGCGGGCCGAGTGAGACCGGGCCGCGCAGTGGGGAGGGCAAAGAGGCGGTCGAAGCCCAGCAGCGAGAAGGCCGGCGGGGTGAGGCGGCGCGGGGGGGAAACGAGGGCCAACGACTCTCACGGTGAGGCCACCTCTGGTGATCCGCCGATCGCGTGAGACAGCGCCTGACCAAGCAGAGGGGTTTGGTGAGCAGGATAGCCCCAGCTGGCATGCGAGGGACGGGCGGGGCGGAGCTGGGGTGACGAGGCGGTTGTGCAGGCGGCACCGAACGGGGAAGGCTCATGGGAATCACAGCTTCCGTCTCATGGGGGCGTAATCGCGTGCGGGTTCGCTGGCGGTCCGAACCACCGGGAAGTTGCGGGAGAGGTGGATCAGCGTGATGATGTGGACCATGACCTGATGGCAGCAGAGAGCCAGGGACCTGGTGAGGTCGAGAGCCGCGCTGAGATCATCCTCAGTGGCCGGCGGCACCAGCGGTGTGATCCATCTGCCGCACTGTGGCCTGCACTGGTCGTAGAGCTCGCGCAGGGCCGGGCAGCCGAAGGGATGGCAGGGGCGGATCCACCCGGAGTGCCACTGTAGAAGGCATGGAAGAAGGCGTCGCGGATCTGGTCTGGCGCGGGGCCCGCTGGCGGAGGGACCGGCTCGGCGTCAGCCTCGGCCGCCAGGGGGTGGTCGGCGGGGAAACCGCCCTCGCTGCCGCTGCCGGGCTCGAAGGGCCCCACCGCGAGGCAGAACCAGGTCATCCCGTCATCATAGCTGCAACTCGGCTCAGCTGGGTCGGGACCCACGACCGAATGGGCTGCGGGGCACAGGGCCCGCGGGACGGACGCCCACGCAATCAAAGGTGCTGACGTCTGGCGGGGAGATGGACTTGCTGGGCTGCACCAACCGTGCAAGGGGCGGGTGCGCGCGGAAAACAGCGGACGCTGGGCGGGGAAGACGGTGTGGCCGCCGTGCACGGGCACGGTGTTGGAGTACCTGCAACGGTCATCTGAAAGCACTGGCGGGGGCAGCGTCTCAGGGACGAGCCACTGACAGGCGCACTTAGGCCAGCGCAGGCGGATGCACCTACGGCCGGTAGCGCGGGGCTCGTCCTTGCCTGGGGAAGCGCTGCGGAGGTTGTTGCCAAGAACGGGTCCCGACATAGGGTGGACAACCCTGTGCCGGGGGCTGGGAGAACTGGCCGCCGTAACCGCGGATTCTCACACACTCATACACACACACACACACGCACGCACACGCACACGCACACGCACACACAGACACACAAGCACACACGCTCATGTTGTTCTTAAGCGTGGGAGGGCAGTCACAGGCGCATCTGAAGCAGACCACGCTGAAACGCGGACAAAATTAAACTAGTTGAAACATTAAATCTAGTCGACGGCGGAGTGCACCAGCCGTGCTAGCCGCTAACCAAAGTCTGGGGGAACGGAGAGGTATTGTACCGCTAGCGCAGCTACTCCCCATAGGCGCGCTTTGACCAGAATTCCAAATCGAATCCGGCCGTGGCGACGAGGGAGGCATAGCGGCATCGGTACACCCCTTCCTCCACTGAGAGCCAGGGGCAACCTGGACAGGTCGTGGTGAATGGGTGAGCTGCTCTTCAGCGCAGCCGTGGAGGAGAAGGGGAGGAAGTTGGCGGTGTTCAGCGGGGGAGCACGCCCGACTCGTTGCAGGGGACCCGGCCAGTAGCTCTGCCGCAGGACGCCGTCCTGGCCCCGTGCCTCCCGAGCGGGACGAGGCCGCAGGAGGCCTTACTCGGTGGAGGCCAAACGTACCCCAGAACAAATGTATCTTGGAGAGGGGGCCTCAGGCCTGACCTCGGGGCGCTCAACGGCTCCGTTCTGGCGCGCACCACGGCTGGAATGATGGCCGCTGCGACACCGCACTGCGGGGAAGTCGTCCTAGGGGTACGTCTGGCCATTCCCAACTTGCGCCGCGGCTTACGCGGGCCGCCAGCATGGCACACCGCGTGGAGGACAGGGCGCTCACGCGCAGCCTTGCGCGGGAAGCTTACATTCGGACCTGGGACAAAAGAACATCCAGCAAGAGTATGAGACCCTCCCCTCCGCCTGCCAAAACACACAGAACAGCCAAAGGTACCCTCCCTAGGATGCACAAAAACGTCCAACGAACACGAAGAACATGTAGGTACCCCCCCCGAACCGACCTCGATCTTATACCTCGGTCCGACCTTACGCGTGAATGTCCGGGCAGTCGACCCTGTGGTCGTCCGTCGCCTCGCTGCCGAGACCACAACTCACGCAGGCAGACGGCGTAGTGCGGGGCTGATGGGACGCGGGAACACGCCTGTTCCTCCGCCGGCGAAGCGACACCCCTGCCGCGAAATCTCGTATGGGGCACATGCAGTCGAGACGCTGTCCGAAGGAACCCTGAATGAGGAACGGGAGCTCTTTTTTCCGTAAGTTTAACTTCGATGTCCCACATAACACCCAAGGACACCCCATAACAACAAACTGTCAAGCCACAAGGAGCACTCAGACCCTCCCCAACGAAAAGGGTTCCTTCTTCAACGGCCCGACTGCACACGGACGCGCGCATACGCAATGTTTGTCCGAGTGCAGAGCGCCATATCCTGGGCCTGGAAGACCGTCCATGTTGCCACCGCAGATGCCCATTAACAGGCGCGCCCGTGCCTGCGCGGCACGCGGGACCGACGGAGCCAGAACGTCGGAGCAGGAGCGCTAGCTCCCGCGCTAGGGGTGCCCGTGCCCGAGCACGAGCGAGCCCCACTACGGAGGTGTGCCTGCGAGACAGCGCCTAGCTTACCTGTCCGTCGAGGCGACCTTTTGCTTGGCAGGCCTGAGCTGGGCCGCATCGCGACACAGGGTCGGAACCATATCGCCTCGCCAGCGAATCTTCTCGAATCGAAACGATACCGGATCTTCGCGCCTAGTTCTCGCATGCCACGGGCGATGCTGGTGAATCGAACCGAATCGAGACGAATCGGAATCGCGGCCCCAGCCGACGAATCGAATCGAGACTCGAATCAGATCGTAGGCAACCTTTCTGGGTCGCAGCGGCACAAGGCTCGTCGAGGACAAATTCTCGGAGGGCTACGCGGTAGCTAATCAAGATTACCTGACCTGATCATAGGGATGCGCGGTAAGGATGCAAGACCCTCAGACGCTCAAATCGAAGTTGGACGTCCATGCCCCATGACTAAGGGCTAGGATGGGGCGAGTGGCAAGGATGCGCAAGGGCCACGCTTGGAAGGCTTCTCATCCTCGAGATCCTGTTTGACTGTCATTTTTTTTAGGCCGTAGGGTAGCCGAGGGTAGGCTCTACCTTAGGCCGTAGGGTAGCCAAAGGTAGGGCCTACCCCAGGCCCGAGGGTAGCCTAAGGAAACCCTACCCTAGGGTCCCAGGGGCAGGCCCAGCGAGTAGGCCCTAGGGGTAGGCCCAGGGTTCGCCTAGGGGTGGGTCCTAGGGGTAGGCCCTAGGGATAGGCCTAGGGTAAGGCCCTATGGATAGGCCTAGGGTAGGCCTAGGGGTAGGCGCTAGGGTAGGCCCAGGGTTAGCCTATGGGGTGGGCCCTAGAAAAGGCCCTAGGGATAGGCCTAGGGTGAGGCCCTAGGGATAGGCTTAGGGTAGGCCTAGGGGTAGGCCTAGGGGCCTAGGGTATGCCCTAGGGGGAGGCCTAGGTGTAGGCCTACGGGTGGCCCAGGGTGGGCCTAGGGCTACGCCCTGTGGGGTAGGCCTAGGGCCTAGGGCCTAGGGTAGGCCTATCCCCCGGGGTGTATCAGCCAACAGCGGCGCTGTCAAGGAGGGCCCAGCACCAATCCAAGGAAATCTGTGCGGACCTCGAAGCTGTCGGTTACGCAATGTTTGTTTGCTGTTCGATACTCCTCCACCCTCTCCTGCCCAAGCTCGCAAAGAGGCCGCCTTGGTCGTGTTCTCCATGTTGGCTTCCCATCCAATCGGCTTGACCAAGCCCTCCATGTCCTGAGCTGCGCGCTGCGTCCAGAAGGGAGGCGGCGTCGCAATTCCGCGTGGCGTGGGCAGCTCGGCGGGCCTCTGGACCCCACCGACCTTTGCGCGTCGTGGACAAAACCTCATCGCACCGTGAACAGATTGCGCCGTGGACAAACCGCGCTGTGGACACATCGCGCCGGGACAGATCGCGACGAAACAGGAGCGGGTCTTACGCGACATGGCATAGCGACCTTATGCGGTGGCGCACGCAGAACGCCGTGCCTGCACGCTACATTGGAAGTGAGGGCGCACATGCGCGACCTTACGTGGGCAGCTTACGCGCGGATGTCGCTGCAGTGGACCCCGTTGTTCTGCGTCGGCCACGCGTGGCTCTTGCTAGTTGTCGGTCCCCGGGGGGCCCTGACCGAGCCCCGTGAGCGTGAAGACGAGGCTCGTGATGAAAAACCTGTCCACGGGAAATGTATGTGTATCATGTGCCAGAGTGGTTTGATCACAGGCTCCGCCCGAGTAGCGCCAACTAGTGCATATATATATATATGTGTGTGTGTTGGCACATATATTTTTACATATATATATATATATATATAAAAATATAAGGATGTGTGTACGTACCCCTAGTAGCGCCGATTAGCTCCGATTGGTACCAATTACTACCTACTTGCTGCTATCTACGCCTATGACGACCACAAACGAACAATACTATACGTCGATAGCCGGGCAAGACAGTAACCCATGCCTAACATGACTCTCTCGCATACCAAACCGAAGGACAGGGGGCGGGACCTCTTAGGGTCCACGCTGTGAAAACGTACAGAGCGTCGGATCTCTGGGCGCTGCAGGGAGGGAGGCGGGGGAGTGGGAGAGGAGGGGGGAGGGCGGAGGGGAGACGGGGGAGAAGAGCATCAGGGAGCAGGGCTGGAAAACAGAAATTACCCAGGAGCGTACCCAATCCTTTCTAAACACGTGGCGGCTATACCCCGGGCCACTAAATCCAAACGAACATGAGCCGCAGTGCGCAGAAGCAAGTCAACTTAAGTGGTTCCATACGCCAGAAGGCGTGGGCAAAGGAAGATACTGCCGGCCTGCCTGCCTGAATGTCTGCTAGGAAAAGGCGGCGCGCCAGCCCTCTACCAGAAATGGATTCAGAACAGCGCGGCAGCGGGTAACGACAAAGTCCCAAGCATGGAAACAAAGGGGCGCTAAAGGACAAACGCCCGATAAAGGGAAACGCAATTGGAAGAAGAGGAGAAGGGCATCCCAGAGCAGGGTTGGAGCATGAGCGAAAATCAGTAAGCCTGAGAACTTTCGCAGGTCCGAGCGTAGTTCTTGGGTCAGAGCTGGACCCCCCTCGCTGGCAGCTGCAGAGACGGAATTAATGGAGGGGCGATCCATGGGGGAGGAGAAAGGTTCCCTTTTCGGTCCTTCAAGGCCCCCTCGCGGCCCCAAAGCGCTCCTTTAGGGGTCCTAAAAGGCCCCTTTTTGGCCGCCCTCGCCGCCCCCCCCCATGTATCGCCTCCCCCACTACGCGCCCCAAAGAGAGAGAGGGCGAGGAACCTCTGGAGAGGGCACGGACACATACTGGTTGTATGTCCTCCTTGGAGGCGCGCGTCCGACCCGAACATATAGCATACGGATCTTAGAATATCTCGTTTCCTGAACGGTGTGGCCGGAACGCGCCCGCCACGACGCAGACACTGCAAGACTTCTCAGGGCACGCGTCGCCCCGTGGAGGGTGACGCACACATAGTACTAGTATGTTGGGGTGACGCCGAAGGAAGGGAGGAGAGATTCTGGATGACACCCAGGACTCGGGGCCAAGAGTGCCCAGAATCGAATCGATAAGTCGGATCGGCGATCGAAACGAATCGGATCGGCGGAAATCGGCAGGCTAGTATGCGTCCAGCAAGACTGCGGAGCCCAGATCGGAATCTCGAGTCGCATCGAATCGGAATCGGGAGCCATCAAGTCGAATCGCATCGACTCGGAGAACTCGAAGCGAGCCCTGCGGGGCGGCACGGGCACGACCACGGCTGCATCCCGCCGCCGGCCCCCCCCCCCCACACACACACAAAAAAAACAGCCCTCCAGGCGCCGAGGGGCGGCCCGTGCACCGGGGAGCGAAGCACCCGGCGGCGGAGGCGGAAGCACCTGCGCGCAACGGAGCAGTCGGATGCTCATTCTGGGGACCTCCTCCTTCTCCTCCTCCTCCTCCTCCTCCTCCGCCTCCTCCTCCTCCCCCTCCTCCTCCTCCTCCTCCTGCCTCCTCCTCCTCCCCCCTCCTCCTCCTCTTCCTCCTCCTCCTCCTCCTCCTGCTCCTCCTCCTCCTCCTCATTCTGGGGACACTCGCTCCACTCGTGCGTCGAAGCTGCGTCGAGCGTCCGTCGACTCGAGTCGACCCCGAGTCGAACCCGAGTCGAACCCGAGTCGAGCTTGAGTCGAACTTGGCTCGAGCTGGGGTCGAACTAGAGTCGAACAGGTCCGCTAGGTGGGCCCAAGGAAGCCCCCCCAAACGAGCATCTAAGAACAGAGGAGTTCGTATCTCCCCGTATCTGGGGGTTGCTAAAGCTGCGCCTGGCCCAAGGCACCGCCAGCTTTTCGGTCCATCGTGCAGCCCAAGAGGGCCCCCTGGGCCTCGTGAGTGGTCCTCTGGAGACCCGTGGGGCCTCCATGAAAAATTCCTGGGGGGCACCTTGGGCAAGGGGGCGCTCCTGGCAACGCCCGGCCTCTTCCCCAGCCAAAACGAGACCGAGACAGACATCGAACCGGACAGAGAACGGTCTGGCATCTCTGGGGGCGGGCGGAACCAGGAGGATCTATATCGGGCGCCAGGGCCGCTCCAGAGCTCCCCGGAATCGGCGGCGAGCGAGGGGGGAAGCGAAAAGGAGAAGGCCTTCTCAGAAGGCTCGGGAGTCACACGGCCTCCTGAGAAGATTTCTACGCCCTCCCGAAGACGCACAACACTTCTCAGAAGGCGCGAGGGCTTCTGAGACGACCCCCCCGCCTTCTGAGAGGGCCTTCTCCTTCTGATTTCCCCCCCTCGCTCGCGGTCGATGCAAGGCCCTCAGGGCGTTCTGGCTTGCCCTGGAGCATATACCCAGACCTCTGGCGTCTCGATTTTGCCGAGACACGGACCCCCGAATTCTCGACCACTTCCCAAGGACCGGCTCTTCATCCCGAGCCGTTCTTTGACAGCCCCGAGGCTCCGTGGGGGCCCCGAGAGGCCCACCACTGTGAAACACCTCAGCCCCGATCTTTCCCTACACAATGGATGACTGGGCATCTTGGTGAGGCCTGCCTCACCAGCCGGTTTCTCTCGGCCGCCCCAGGAGGAGCAGGAGGAGGAGGAGCAGGAGGAGGAAGAGGAGGCGGAGGAGGAGGAAGAGGAGGAGGTGGAGGAGCAGGAGGACCAGGAGGAGGAGGAAGAGGAGGAGGAGGAGGAGGAGAAGGAGGAGGAGGAGGAGGAGGAGGAGAAGGAGGAGGAGGAGGAGGACGCGGCGGCTGCACGCCAGCACGGGCGCAGGCCAGGAGCGCCCTGGAGGAGCAGGGCCGGGGGGGCCCAGAGGGTCCTCGGCGAGGCGGGGCCACCTCGGGGGCAGGCGCCGCAGAATCCGAGAGGAGCATGAGCCAGGAGGAGGAGCCAGGAGGAGGAGGAGGAGGAGGAGGAGGAGGAGGAGGAGGAGGAGCCCGGAGGTGGAGCCAGGGAGGAGGAGGAGGAGGAGGAGGACGAGGAGGACGAGGAGGAGGAGGAGGAGGAGGAGGAGGAGGAGAGGAGGAGGAGGAGGAGGGAGGATGGGGGGAGGAGGAGGGGAGGGAGGAGGAGGAGGAGGAGGAGGAGGAGGAGGAGGAGGAGGAGGAGGAGATGTGGACAGCAAGCGGTGCCCAGGCCCCTCGTCGGGGCCGCCCCGCGGAGCCCCGACGAGCCTGTGAGAACCAGCGGCAGGGCCCTGCCAGGCCCGGCGGAAGTGTATCCGTCGTCGTCGTGTCGTCGTCGTCGTCGTCGTCGTAGTCGTCGTCGTCGTCGTCGTCGTCGTCGTCGTCGTCGTCGATGACGTCGTCGACGTCGTCGACGTCGACCAGACTCGACGTCGTGGAGGCTCGAGGGTGGAGGCTCGAACATCCAATTGCTGAGGCGTGTTTGGCCACCCTGGGCCTTCGGGGGTCTCTGGACGCCTCCGGGGAACCAGAGGGGGAGCCAGGGCGCAGATCAAGGATGCAAGACATACCCTTGGGAGTCCATGTGGAAGCCATTTGCACAAGCGCGGATTCCAAGTGGAGGTGGTGTGATATAGTACGTAGTTCAGCTAAACAAATAAGAGAACACAAAACCCAATCAAAAAACTGACAACGAAACATCCGCAACCCGCTGGTGCGACCTGCATGCGTAACCCGCGAACGCGTCCCGCATAAACAACCCGCGTGCACAAATCGCCAATCCTCATGCGGATGCGCAGACCGCTTACACAAACCGGCGGGGGGATCTTGACACGCTGGGGCGCAGCACGAACCGGCTATCACGAGCAGAGCAATACTTTCTCAGGCTGCTCGCACCTCACAGGCTGGCTGGAGAATAGCGGTGGCATCAGGCAGACCACCCTGGGACGCTGGCAAACACAACTAGCCGCAGAGGCAAGGATGCACGGACAGCCTCGATGAAGTACTTGTTCCTTGCTTCTACCCTCCGTTTCGGAAGCAGCCCGAACTGGTTGCTCGTGAAGTGCCCGACTGAGTAACTGGTCGCACACGTTGCCAGGCCGCTGTTTTACTGAGGCCGAGGGCGCCAATCGAAGCGCAACCTGTAGCAGCCCGTTTCAAACTTTGGCAGCAGGGGCGGCAACCTGCAGCGCAACCTCGGCGCAACCACCGTACTCTCTCGGGGCCACCGGCCTCGGACCCCCGGAACTTCTGGGCTCGCGCGCTGCTGGGGCTTCTCGTGCGACTCCTGGGAGCACGGCTCGGAGTCCACGCGTGCCGCAGGTGCCCCCTGGCGGACAGTCCCGGGGCCCCCTGGGAAGCCTCCTGGGCCGTCCTCTTGAGGCCTCCGGGGGCCGGTCCACGGGGCCAAGGCTCGTGCGCGCAGGAGCAGTGGCACGGCACGGCGCAGGGCGGAGCTCTTCGGCGCAGCCCATGGAGCAGCCTGTGGGCACAGCCTGTGCGCGCTTCTGTCCCGACACCCAGGCCTGAGGGTAAAGCACTGCTGCTCTCCTGTATACCTCCCATCCTCGGGCGCCTGCGCACCCACACGTGTGCGCGCCATCACAGTACGAGACATTGCCCGAGCGCGGGCGCAAACGAACCCTCGCTCCTCTCCCTCCCCCTCAGAGGCGGCCTCCAGATTGGTCCTTGAGCGCAGTCAGACCAGGCTTTCGAGGCGGAGATGGCCGTGGCGGCAAAAGATCGCCCCCCCAAGAGCAGCACCGGAAGTCCTGAAACAGCAAAGCCGTCGTGCCTGAGGGTCATCGTCGTCCTCGTCCTCGTCCTCGTCCTCGTCCTCCTCCTCCTCCTCCTCCTCCTCCTCCTCCTCCTCCTCCTCCTCCTCCTCCCCCCTCCCTCCTCCCTCCCTGCACCTCCATCCCACATCCCTCTCAATCAAGTTCATCCTCGCCACTCGTCCCTCCTCCTTCTCCCTCCCTCCCTCCCCCATCCCTCCCTCCCGCCCGCCTCCTCCTCCTCCTCATCGTCATCACAGCATCATCAGCGTTCTTCGTCATCAACACCCGTCCTCTGGCACCACGGAGTCGATTCTCCGGATGTAGCGGTCCAGCAGATGGAAGTGGTTCTGCTTGCCGCGGCCAGACTCCCCGCGAGGCGGCGACGGGTCCGTCCACCTCTGGGCTTGGAGAGCGGGAGGAGGAAGAGCAGCCGTGGCCGCCTCCTCATCCTTCTCTCCTCTTCCTCCAACTCTCCTCATCCTCGTCGTCGTCATCACCACCACCACCATCACCACCACCATCATCATCATCATCATCATCGTCATCATCATCATCATCATCATCATCATCATCATCATCATCATCATCATCATCATCATCATCATCACCATCATCATCATCATCATCATCATCATCATCATCATCATCATCATCACAATCAACAACACCATTCATCCGCATCCTCATCTCCATCCTCGTCCTCGTCCCGATCACCCTCATCATCATCCCCATCATCATCCGCAACAATACCATCAGTATCAGCATCATCATCATCAGTATCGTCGTCAGCATGATCATCAGCATGAGCATCATCAGCATCAGCATCACCAGCATCCTCATCAGCAGCATGACCATCACCATCATCATCACCATGAGCATCAGCATCACCAACAGCATCATCATCATCAGCAGCATAACCATCTTCGTTAACAGCATCGTCATAATCATAATCGTCACCATCGCCATTCTCATCATAGCATCGTCCTCATCATCATCAGCATATCCATCATCATCACCATCATCATCATTACCATCATTATCATCATCAACAGCATCATCATCCCTCATCACCATCATTGGCATCATCATCATCAGCATCAGTATCGCCACCACCATCATCATCACCATCTTCATCAGCATCATCGGCATCATTGTCGTCGTCATCATCATCACCATCACCACCATCAGTATCATCATCATTAGCAGCAACATCATTTTACCACCACCAGCATCATCACCATCACCAGCAGCAGTATCATCATCATCATCATCATCCTCATCCTCATCATCATCATCATCATCATCATAATCATCATCATCCGCACCACCATTATCAGCATCATCATCATCATCATCATCATGTTCATCATCGTCGTCGTCATCATCACTACCATCGTTCGAACCCATTTCGTCTGACCCCTTTCCCTCATGGCGATCCTGCCTCGATGGCCCTTGGGGGGTCAACATCGAGGAACATCACAGGGTTTGCACAGATCATGTCGTCGGAGAGCTGGGGACCCAGGTCTCGAGGCCGCCCGCATGGTGTCCGAATGGATGCGCTCAGAGGATCGCGCCGCTGCGCCGATGCATCGGCGACATCGGCGTGCAGAAAGTCGAGTTCGACATATAGGAAAGAGCGTGTTCTACCGCTGCTGGCGGAAAACGGGGGGGGGTCACTACCGGTTCGAGCCCCTCCCCCCCCCCCCCCCCTCCGGAAAACCGGGGGGGGCACTACCGGTTCGAACCCCTCCCCCCCCCCCCCAGCTCATCATGAAAAGGGGGGGGGGTCACTACCGGTTCGAACCCCTCGATCATATAATTAGTTGTTGGAACTTTCGATGTCGTTCTCCCTGCCCGTTGTTCATTCAGACGAAACCTTCGTCGACCCTCCGCCGCGTGGCCCTGAAAGATGAATGCGCACAGCGGCGGTCATTCTATCCGACGCCCCACTTGGTCGAACTGCTAAGACGCCCACTCGCAACAGCACCTGGGGCTTGCGAAAGAAAAACAAGAGGCGGGCAGATACAACCACAAGGTGCACTGCATCCGAATCGAGAGGCGACCTGGACGTCGATGTGGCAAGATACTCCTAAATCTTCGAGGGCGGGGGCTGGGCCTCGGATTCGACTGGTGAGGGTCATAATTCTGGCCTCCGTTGGCCGTTCGGGACTATCTGGGCACCCCGGAGGCCCGCCGAAAACCGACGAAAACGTTGAACCTCGAACGCAGCTACCGAAACCCGAGCCTTCCCCACCTCAATGGCGATCCTGCCACTCCCCCTCGGTGACGGCTTTGGTTGCGTGATGTTCGACCCCTAACCAAAGAAGGATGACTGCGCATGCTGGGCAGACATTGACAACTTTCGCTATAGAACGAATGATGGGACGCGTCTACATCGCAGAGTGGTGGGCCTGGAAGGGCAGGTCACTCCTTAACAAACGCCTTGCTCCGATGTGTGGCCGCCGCGACCGCCGTGGCGACCCTCAGAACCGACCTGGCGGTTCGGGTCGGGGTCGAAACTCACGCAAGGATGGAGGGGAAGACAACGGAGACCATGACCCAGACTAAACGCAGAAACGTCGTGTCAACCTTGGTCACCGCTGATCTTAGTCATCGCCATCTCGTGGATCATCTCCGCGAATCGGCGATGGCCGACATGGACCACGATCAAGGACGGCATCGACTGGATCCTACGACATATTGGTCATGGTCCCTCTGTGTTCTTCTCGGCGGCGACCGAGGGGGGGAAGTGAGAGGGAGAAGGCCCCCTCAGAAGGCGGCGAGACTTCTCACAAACCCTCGCGGTTTCCCAGAAGGTTGTCGTGTCTTCGGGGAAGGCTCGGGAAACTGCTCAGGAGGCCGGGGGGCTTCCGAGCCTTCTGAGAAGGCCCGTCCCTTCTCGGACGCCTGCTGGTTATTCGGTTCTAGCTCGGCTCCCCGGTGGCCGTTCGGGACGATGCGGGCCTGCTGCCGGAGCGCTCCCCCGAGGCGGGAGAACCGCCGAGAAACGACGCCGACGTCCTTGAAAACCTCGAGCCTCGGACCCGAAACTTCCCCACAGGGCTCGCCAAGGGCTCCCAACTTCGCGCTTCGCGCTGCGCGCAGCGCGCAGTGCTAACAACTTCGCGCTCTCGCGCCGCCTCCGAGGGGAGAAGTGGAGGGTGAGGAGGAATCGGAGCCGAACCGCGAAGCGCGAAGCGCGAACAACTTCGCGCCCTCGAGGGCGCCCTTGGCTCGCCGTCGCTCTTCCCTCTCGCAGCGAGGCGCTGCCGCCCGTCGCAGAGGCCGCCGCCCAGCGCCGCCCGCCTGCTGAGGTAGCGCAGGCGGCCTCGGCGCGCGCTCGGGGGCCGCCGCCCCGCGCCGCGCCCGGGGCACCGCGCTTTTTGCAAGGGCTCCCAACTTCGCGCTTCGCGCTGCGCGAAGCGCGAATAACTTCGCGCTCTCGCGCCGCCCTCCCACTGGGAGAACAGGAGGACGAGGAGGAGGGGGAGAAGGAACGGGGACCGCGAAGCGCGAATAACTTCGCGCCCTCGTGGGAGCCCTTATTTTTTGGGGGGAGCACGGCGGCCCACTGGGACGAGGACCCGCTCGCCAGCGCTCGGGCGTCCATCCAGGGAAACGAAACAGTAACCTAAACATATCACCGAACAACTCGGAGGGTTCTTCCTGCTTCTCCTCCACATCCTTCCCCCCTCTCCTCCTCCCTTATCAACCTCCTCCACCCTTCCTCCACCTCCCACCCATCCTCCTCCTCTGCCCCCCCCTCGTTTTCATCTTCGTCGTTCTCAGGGTCGGCCGTAAGGTCTTCGCAATACCTTAAACAAATCAATGAAAACTCGGAGGACCCGCGCGATTTCTCGGATCCGCGCTGGACCCCCCTCCCTGGCGCGCGGAGCGCGCCAGGGGCAGCGCCGGAGGCGCCGCCAAAGGACCCCAGCGCCGATCCGAGAACTTTGCGTGGATCTCCGGGTTATCATGTGTATGTGATTGTTCATTCCCTTAACATTGTCCGTGCACTTGTCAGATCCGTGCGCGCAGGAGACCCGAACTGCTTCTCGATGGCCCCCGCCGAAGAAACGAGTGCACGCGTCCGAACGGTGCCAAACCAGAGGAAGGGAGCGAGGAGGAAGGCGAGCTCTTCCCGTCAAGTGGTCGGGCGGTGAACGCGTGCTCCATAAATCCGCACACGCCCGCCTGTTGCGAGAGCGTGCGTGTGACCACATGTGCGAACAACACTGCGTGCCTCCCGGTCTATCTCATCCAGGGCCTCCACCCTGCAAGCCAACATCTTGCTGTATCGTAGCCGTAATCGAATCGTGGCGGAGAGCTTCCCAAATAAATGTTTCCCAACCATCCTGTGGTGTTGGGTCCTCGATTCGAGGGGACAACGCCCCGCGTCCCTCCTCCTCCTTGTCTCCTCCTCCTCCCCCTCCTCCCTGCGCTTCGCCCACCCAGTACAGCGCTTCGTAGCCCCATACGGAGCTCCACCGACGGCTCCAGTGGGACCGCCCGCGTGCGCCATCCACCACCCAACCTAACATTCGTGGCCCATACGGAACTCCTCCGAAGGCTCTTCTGGGACCGCCCGCATGCGTCATCCACCACCCAACCCAGTGCAGCGCTTCGTGACCCCATAGAGGGCTCCACCCCAAACCCAATGGGACCGCCAGCATGCGTCACCCACCACCCAGTACAGCGCTTCGTGGCCCCATAGGGGGTTCCACCGAAGGCCCCACAGGGAACGCCCGCATGCGTCATCCACCACCCAGTACAGCGCTTCGTGGCCTAATAGGGAGGCCCCCGTGGGACCGCCCGCATGCGTCATCCACCGCCCAATACAACACTTCGTGGCCCCATAAAGGGTTCCACCCGAGGCCCCAGTGGGACCGCCCGCGTGCGTCATCCACCACCCAGTGCAGCGTTTCGTGGCCCCCGCATGCGTCATCCACCACCCAGTACAACGCTTCGTGACCCTATGGGGAAGTCCACCGAAAGCCTCAATTGGACCGCCCACGTGCGTCATCCACCACCTTGTACAACACTTCGTGGTCCCATCGAGAGTTCCACCCAAAGCCCCAGTGGGACCGCCCGCGTGCGTCATCCACCACCCAGCGCAGCGTTTCGTGGCCCCGTAGGGAGCTCCACCGTAGGCTCCAGTGGGACCGCCTGCATGCGTCAGCGACCACCCAGTACAGCGCTTCGTCGCCCCATAGAGGGCTCCACCCAAGGCCCCCGTGGGACCGCCCGCATGCGTCATCCACCACCCACTACAGCGCTCCGTGGCCCCATAGGGGGCTCCACCCAAGGCCCCAGTGGGGCCGCCCGCATGCGTCACCCACCACCCAGTACAGCGTTTCGTGGCCCCACAGGGAGCTTCACCTAAGGTCTCCGTGGCGGAACTCGCATGGCGGCCGGCGGCCCACTGGCGGAGTTCGCGTGGCAGCGACTTCCGATTTTCGGAAGTTTTGCGTCGTATTCGATGTGTTGAAACCGTTTTCGGGCCGCGCATCCCGGGCGGGAGCCAGCCTGCTCGTTCTCTCTGCTTTGCGCAGCGGACGACCCGCGCGCGTCGCCGGGACCATTTCGGGGCGACCAACGCGCGTCGCGGGGACTCCGTGCGGCGCCGCGCCCGCAGCCTTGTGTGGGCGTGCACGGGCAAAGAGGGAGAAGAAATACGGGAAAGAAGCGGGCGCGATCCTCGTGAGAGGCGTGCCGACATGGGCGTCGGCATTTATGCACGTAGACTCACGCGCGCGCAGATTTATCCACCATCAGACTCACTCGCTCTCAGCCTCTCGCACACAGACCTATAGTCTTCGCTCGCGTTGTGTGCCCCGCCACGTATGTCGGCACGCCCCTCGCACGGTTCGTGGACCCATAGGAGCGCGGGCGAGGATGATATTCATAATTGCGATATTCCCAACTGCATATGGTTGGGTACTTCGCCAGGCTAATTGCTCGTGTGTTGTTTGTTGTCCGTACTTGTTGCGCTCAATACTGGTGCAACGTGCTACTCCATGCTGGGATCAGATTTGAAGCAGATTGGCTCCTGTGTTGAAGCATTGTCACTTCTCAGTCATCCCGGAGGAGCTCTTGAAATTGCCAGCTCCTCCACCCGACGTCAGAGTCCAAAGAGCGGGCTCAGTCCAATACCATCCACTAATGATTTTACCGTCCATCATAAGATCAATCGGCAAATTGACAACGACCCCTTTGCCGTGAATGTTGTGGAGCAAGGCGTTGGCGCCTAAGGAAGATAGAAGGTACCCAGAAGCGGTCTTGGCGCCAAAACTAGGGCCGACAAGATGGGTGGCTGCTGGTCATGCTCGACACACAAGCATGCCAATGACGAGTGCCTGAAAGCACGATCGCCGTGAACTTATGAGGAGCATGACGGTGGTGCTGATGCTGATGCTGATGCTGCTGCTGCTGATGATGATGTTGATGCGGATGATGATGATGATGGTGATGATGAGGATGGTGATGTGATGATGATGATGATGATGACGATGACGATGATGCTGATGCTGATGCTGATGATGATGATGATGATGATGATGATGACGATGATAGGGAGGAGGTGGAGGAGGAGACGGGGGAGGAGGGGGAGGAGGAGGTTGAGGAAAATGAGGAGGAGAAGAGAAGGAGGAGGAGGAGGAGGAGGAGGAGGAGGAGGAGGCGGAGGAGGAGGAGCAGGAAGGGAGAGGAAGGAGGAGGAGGAGGCGGAGGAGGAGGAGGTGACGGCGGAGGCGGAGGAAGAGAAGGAGGAGAAGGAGGAGGAGGAAGAGAAGGAGGAGGAAGAGAAGGAGGAAGAGGATGAGGAGGAGGAGGAGGAGGCGGATGATAATGAGGAGGAGGCGGAAGAGGAGGAGGAGGAGGAGGAGGAGGAGGAGGAGGAGGAGGAGGAGGGGGAGGGGGGAGGGAGGAGGAGGAGGAGGAGGAGGAGGAGGAGGAGGAGGAGGAGAGGAGGAGGAGGAGGAAGAGGACGAGGGGGCGAGGGAGGAAGAGGAGGAGTCAGAGGTGGAGGAGGCGGAGGAGGAGGGGGCGGAGGAGAGGAGGAGGAGGAGGAGGAGGAGGAGGAGCGGAGGCGAGAAGGAGGAGGAGGAGGAGGAGGGGAGGAGGAGGAGGAGGAAAGGAGGAGGAGGAGGAGGAGGAGGAGGAGGAGGAGGAGGGAGGAGGAGAGGGAGGAGAGGAGGAGGCGGAGGAGGAGGAGGAGGAGGAGGGATGGGGGAGCAAGGAGGAGGAGGAAGGAGGAGGAGGAGGAGGAGGAGGAGGAGAAGGAGGAAGAGGAGGAGGAGGAGGAGGAGGAGGAGGAGGAGGGCGGAGGAGGAGGAGGAGGAGGAGGAGAAGGAGGAGGAAGAGGAGGAGGAGGATGAGGCGGAGATGGAGGAGGAGGAGGAGCAGAAGGAGGAGGAGGAGGAGGCGGAAGAGGCGGAGGAGGAAGAGAGGGGCACTTTTGGCAACACCCGGCCTCTTCCCCAGCTAGGGCGAGACCGAGACAGACATCGAATCGAACCGAGAAGAGTCCGACATCTCTGGAAGCAGGCGGGCCAGCTGGATCTAGATCTGGCGCCAGGGCCGCGGCAGAGCTCCCTGGGATCGGCGGCGAGCAAGGGGGGGAAAGAAGTCCACTGGCGCACTGAGAAGCTTTCTGAGCCTCCCCAAGAAAACACATAACAAACTTATCCGAAGGCGCGAGGGCTTCCGAGAAGTCCCAGCGCCTTCTGAGAAGGCCTTCTCCGTCTCACTTTTCCCCTCGCTCGTCACCGGACCAACCCCACCCTCCATCCCCCCCTCTCCCTCTGCCCGTCCGCCAGATGGGCGGCGGAAGGAACGGGATTTACCCGAGACGACATGGCGACCTTACGCCGGAGCCTACGCGGGCCGCCAGCGTGGAACGCTGCATTGGAAACGAGGGTGCTGACGCGAGACCTTGCGCGGGACGCTTGCGCGTCAATGTCGGTGCGGACGACCCCGTTTTCTGCCTTGCGCAGATGAGGTTGGGAAAACATCCTGGAAGGTCATTGAGCCCGATTGGAAGTCCATTGGGCCAGATCAAGTCGGGTTAACCTCAGGCTTGCGCCAGATTAGGCCGGACTTGAACGGGATGATGCCAGATTCGGCCAGAATTCGACCGCGGATGTACCAGCGCCGATGCTGAATAGAACCTCCAGGCGTTGCATCCTGGAGGCGGGGGGCGTGGAGGACGTGGCGCAGGAACAAGGGCAAGGAGAGGGGGAGGGGGTCCGAGGAGGACGAGGAGAGAAGCGGCGGAGGAGGTCGGGCGGGTGGCAATCGGGGGGTGGCCCAAAGGAGGTGTGCAGAGAAAGGCCACGAGGGGGGCGCCCCAGGGCGCCTGTGGGGCCCCTGCTGGATCCGAGAGGGGCCCCAAAGGTCCCAGAGGAGGTGCCTCCCTCCACCCCCCCCAGGCTGGGCCAAACCCCCAATCTCTCGGGAGCGGCCAAGAGGGGGGGGTCTCAGAGGGGGGGGGGGCACACCATGACCGGCGGCAGGTGCGCGGCCCAGCGGGGGGGCGCCAGGGACGCGATGGAACAGGAAGGGGCGCCATGAAGTCTCGGGAAACGTCGTGGCCCCCGCCATGATATCCACCCCCCCCGTAGTCGTAAGTCGGGCGTGTCCCCCTACAGGGGGATTTTCCACGAACAATCACACATACCCAGAACATACCCTACAAAGACTCAAACATGGTCCAAAAATAGTCCGCAGACTATTTTTACTATTTTGGAACATTCCCCCTCTAGAGGGACAGGCCCGACGCAACCCTGGTCCTCACCCCCCAATTTTGGGCCGCCCCCGATAATCGCCACCCGCCCGCCGAGGGGGGAGGCGCGGCCCGCCGAGCCGAGCCCCGCGCCGCTCTTCTTCCTCAGCTCCCGGTACCTGGCTCGGAGCAAAGGGCTCCGAGGGGGCACGGGCCCCGGGCAGCGGGGCCCCTGCTATGAGCGAAGGGGCCCTGGCACACACACAAATCAATGCACACAAATAACAGGATTCCCAAATCTTCCCATATTTTCGGGGGTTTCGTCATCCACCCAATTCCCATACTTTCCCATAGCTTCGACGATGAATTGTGTCTGTGTGTTCCTTTCCCTTCTGAATGAGGACCAGCTCCTCATCCCGACCCCAGAAGAAGAGCAAGCAGCAGAAGCAGAAACTTGGGCACCCCCAAACCGGGTGGTGGGATACCAGATGGCGACCTGGAATCCCCAAAAAGGTCACTGCTGGGTTTGGGGACGCGGGGTCACCACTGGGTTCTGTGACTCCTGGACCCACCATTGTCCGGGACATCCTCGGAAAACCGCACGAGTCCCCAAACCGGGTGGTGACACCAAATCGCCCGAGACTCACCGCCAGGTGTTGTCACCACCACGTTTGGGGACTACCGAGAAACGTGTGGCGCTCCGCGCGGAGGCGCCGCCGGGGGGGGGGCCCAACGCAGATCCAAGTGATCCGCGCAGGGCGTCAACAATCTATGTCTATGTCGCTTTGGTTCTTCGACTGACGGTCCCTGGGCCAAGGTAGGGTCCCTGCCAGAGGTTCCACAAGGGGTCCTGATGGATGGAGGGCCAGAAGGATACGAAGCGGATCGCAAGTGGAGCCTTCACCGCTCGAGGCTCACGTCCTCGGGGCCCCACCCTTCAGGGCCCCACCTTTGAACCGCAGACCCCTGATGCAGAAGAAACGGCTACAGACCTCCAGAGCCCCTCCTCCCTCTGCCGGCTGCACGTAAGAAGGACCCTAGGCAAGAGTGACCTTTGGTGCGCGCCTTGCCGCCCGTCGCGTGCGGCGCCATCGTAGCGTCCTGCGCGCGTGGGCTTGGCCGCACAGCACCCCCCCGAGACCCGCGCAGGAAAGGTCACTCTGGCGAAGGGCCCGTCTTACGTGCAGCCGAGTCAGGACCCCCTTCCTTCACGGCGGTGGGCCTGGCCAAAACCACGCTGGGCCGCGGCGCCGCCGGCACCCTGGACGCGCCCTCGCGACCGAGAGGCTATGAGGAGGGCCCGTGCAGCACTGGCGCGAGGCCCGAGGCGGCCCCGGCCGCGCACGGCTGCGTGGCGCGTGCAGACGGGGTCCTCGGGCCGTCCCCGCCATCCCCCGAGCCGTCCGCGCCTGCGCATGGCGGAGCTCACTCTCTGGAGTCTGGCCTTCTGGCCCAAAGGCACGCGCGCGGATTCGTGAAGGCTTTACGTGGGCCACCGCTCTGCTCCTGCAAGGCGAAGCCAGGACCCGGATAACCCCGGACAGGGACACACGTGTCGAGCGCCGCGGCCACTCCAGAGCGCTCAAGAGCGCTCTGGGAGCGTTCCAGAGCGCTGTGGAGCGATTCAGCCCGGTCCTGGGCCCGCCGGATCCTGCCACCCGAGGGCATCCAAGATCGTGACGACGCCTCCCTTCTCCCGCGGGTGTACCTCTCGATCGGCATGTACTTCTTGCCGCGCCACTTGCCCGTGTGCCTGCCGCCCGCCACCTCTCGCATCGGGCGGCCGACGACTTGTGCAACATGGGGGCGTGGCCACCCCAAAACCCTGCATCTGTGGTGCATTCGACTGGGTGGAACAGCTGGGGCCCACCTCTGGGACGGGACATTACCGTGGTGGGGCGCCCGTCCTCGATACCGGGTGTGCTCGAAGAGCCCCCTGGGAATGTATCCCCGCAATCCTCCTCTCTTTTGCGCAGCCAGTTTTTTGGGAAGGGGCTCGGGGGTTGGGGGCGAGAGATCACCTGCCAAATCAAAAGTGGGCGCGCCTTCCTCGCTCCTGGGTTCCTCACTCGCCTCGTTCCCCACTCGCTCGCTCCTGTCGCGGGGGCGAGATCAATTTTCAATGCCACGCCGCCGCGGAGAAAGCATCGGCGCGCCGCCGTTGAAGAAACGCACCCCGCTCCCAGACGAAATCGACGGCGTAACGTGCTGTGGCGTGTCATTCACGTTCATTTCTATTCCGATCCCTCCTTGCTCGCTCCCCCGTCCTGCCCTGGAGGAAGAACTGCATATATGTAGACTGTTGCCCCCCATCCAGGACCCCCACACCACCAAAACCACAAAACATTCACTGATCGCTTGCTCGTCGTCGTCGTACGCCTCCTCCTTTTCCTCCTGTTCCTCCTCCTCCTCCTGCTATCCCCCCCCGATCCTCCTCTTCCTGATCCTCCTCTTTCTCCTCCTCCTCCTCCCCCAGCCCCCCTCTTCTTCATCCTTCTCTTTCTCTTCTCCCCCCGACTCCAGCACATCACGTATCCTTCTCATCCTCCTTCTCCTCCTCCTCTTCCTACTCTTCGTCGCAGCACGACGCAAGCAATCACATATATCTATATAGCGCGTGGCGCCCTCGGTGTAATGTGTTGGTCGTATATATATATAGCGTGTTGCGCCCACCATCATGTGGTGTTGGGTCCTCGTTTTGAAAAACACGGTCCCCGCGTTCCTCCTCCGTCCCTCCCCCTCCCCCCTCCTCCGTCCTCCCTGCGTTTCACCCACCCAATACAACGCTTCGTGGCACCATAGGGAACTCCACCGAAGGCCCCACTGCCACCGCCCGCATGCGCCCCCCACATCCATTTCGGCACACCCCACTCACGTTTCACGGCCCCATAGGGAGCTCGACCGAAAACCACAGTGCCACCGCCCTCAGGCCCCCGGACCCAGCAACCAAACGCGCGCGAAACGTTTGGCCCCTTTTCTTCGCAAAGAGACGCCGTGTATGTTTGGCGTGTTTTCTTGTGCGCGTGTGGAACTGGAAACACAGTACTGTGTTTTGCTTGGCTTTGGGGGCCAATGATCGCCGCGGCCTCCCTCCACCACCTCCCTGAGCCTCCCCTCTCGCCAAAACCATACACTGTGACGACCCAGCCCTGTCAACACAGCCCGAACGAACATATTGAAGGACCCCGCGCGAGAGCAATTGCGCAAGTCGCCGCCCCCAGGGAACCGCGAGGTCGCGGCTGGGTATGCATGCGAATCCCCTCTGCTGGGCCCCGCAGGAGCCAGCGAACGTGGTGACAATTTCGTAGTTCGCAACCCCCCAAGGAGCCGCAAGTTCTCGGCTGGGTGCGTTTACGCCCCAACTCCGCTGGACGAAAGTGGCGACATCTGCGCTCTACGCGACCCCCCGGGGGCCGCGGCGTCGGCTGGGCGTGGTTCTAACTCCACTGCGCTGGGCCTCCCAGGAGCCCGCGAAACAAGCGACACTTGAGCACATCGCCGCCGCCCAAGGGGGCCGCGAGGCCTCGGCTGGGTGCGTTTACATCTCGGCCGCTCTGGGCTCCCCACGAGCCCACAAGAATGGCGACATTCGCGGACTTCGCAGCCCCCCATTAAGCTGCGAGGTCTCGAATGGGAGTATATACAACTCCACTCCGCTGGGCCCCACAGGAGCCCACGAGCATGGCGACAGTTGCGCAATTCGCCCTCCCCCCCCCTCCTCCCCCAAGGGGGCCGCGAGGTTTCGGCTGGGTGCGCGCACGATTCCACTGCGCTGGACCTCCCAAAAGCCAACAAAAATAAACATAATTGCGCAGTTCGCAGCCCCCCAATGAGCCACGAAGTTTCGACTCGGCGCGTTTACAATTCCACTCCGCTGGACCTCCCAGGAGCCCACGAAATTGGCGACAACTAAGCTGTTCGCCGCCACCCAAGGGAGCTGGGAGGTCTCGGCTGGGTGCGTGTACAACTCCATTGCGCTGGGCTTCCAGAAGCCCACGACAATAGCGACAATTGCGCAGTTCGCAGCCCCCCAGAGAGCCGCGAGGTCTCGGCTGGGAGCATATACAACTCCACTTCGCTGGGCCCCCCGGGCCGCGAACCCCGAGCGCCCCAATGAATTCACAATGTTCGCGTCGCCAGGGGGGCCCAAACCCTACGATTTCACTTGGATGATCGGGATTTCTGGGGCGTGCATCTCTGGCGCCCTACGATTTCAATTGGATGCTTGGGATTCCTGGGCCCCCCGCCCTCCGGCAAGGATCTACTTCGGAGCTTCCCAAATTCTGAGCCCTGGAGATTCCAAGATCTCAAGCGCCTGGATGAAATCATGAGATTTCTGAGATGCACACCACAACAATCCCTCTGACGTCGCGAACTCTGCGGCTTCACCGGGATGCTTGGGATTCGCGGCCCTGGGGGAGGGCCCTGTGTAGAATTTCGTCGGAGGTCGGAAATCCCACGCGTTCAGGCATCCCTGTGAAATCATATGGCTTGCGGAAGTAGACCCCAAACAGGCCAATAACCCCAATGAGATCACAGGGTTCGGTGCCTCTTGGACACATCGTGTGTGCTGAATGGTCGCCGCAATTTTGGGTTCCCTCTTCGGGGGAAGGCGTCGTGTGCATCTTCTGCAGTGCGCTGCAGTTGGGCGTTCACCAGCCTAGCGGCCAGAGCGCGCGCGCGAGTGGATTCGAAAGACGCCCCCGCTGACGCCAGGGGAAGACGTGAGCGAGAACTGGTGGGAAAGGAAGGGGAGTGTAGCAAGGAGGGGGCAGGACATGATGAGGAGTGCATAACATCGCCAACATAAAAATAACAGGAATGCATGCTGGGGGGGCTGTCCATACATATATATACATACATACATACATACATACATGCCTACATGCCTACATGCCTACATACCTACCTACCTACACACCTACATGCCTACATGCATGCATACATACACGCATACATACATACATGCATACATGTACACTCGGATGTCTCTCTGTATATACTTGCATGCATGCATCCATCCATACATACATGCATGCGTGCATGCATACTAGAGTCACGCCTGCGCTTCGCGCGCTAGATTCTACTCACAACTGTGCCATGTGTTACGGCTCTCGTTTTCGCTCGTCTGATCGGCGACATTGCTAGCAAAGACCGCTGCATGCAGGCGTTGCAGAGTCTACATCCGCCTCGGCTCCCTCCCCCTCACTCGTCATCGTCCTCCTCCTCCTCCTCCTCCTCCTCCTCCTCCTCCTCCTCCTCCTCCTCCTCCCCTCCGTTTGCAGCTACTCCGTTTCCTCCCTCCTATTCCTCCTACTCCTTCTCCTGCCTCCTAATCCTGCTTCTGCTACGGCTCTCCTCCTCATTCCCTCCTCCTCCTCCTCCTCCTCCTGCTCCTCCTCCTCCTCCTCCTCCTCCTCGTTGCTCCATTTTCAACACTCTTAGTCCTCCTTTTCTTCCTCCTGCTTTTCCTCCTTTCTGTCCCATGTCCTGCTGTTCCTCCTCTCCTCCCTCCTCCTCCTCTTCCTCCTCCCTCCTCCTTCTTCCTCCTCCTCCTCCCTTCCTCCCCCTCTCCTCCTCCTCCCCTCCTCCTCCTCCTCCTCCTCCTCCTCCTCCTCCCCTCCGTTTGCAGCTACTCCTCTTCCTCCCTCCTCCTCCTCCTCCTCAGTGACCAGCTCTCGTGCTCGTCCTCCTCCTGCTCGTCCTCCTCCTCCTCCTCCTCCTCCTCCTCCTCCTCCAGTGACCAGCTTGGCTCGAGCCATTCTGGCGCGAACCCCAAGCTAGCACCATAGGAGCTCCCGCTCCCACCATTTCCTCTCGCCTCGCGCTCCGGCCTCGCCATGGATCAGGCGCCGCGGCGCCGCTGGCCCAATCGCACTGCGGCCGAGCGCCGAGCTCAGTATGCACGTGCGGATGGGCTCGCGGCCATGCGGCTCCTGCACGCCTTCACGGAGATCGAACGGCTCAGGGGCCAGGGCCTGACAAGCATCGCCCAAGCGCTCCGCCAAGCGTTGGCTGGCGAGCCGGCTGGTGCAGCTGATGGAGCCCGTCCTGTACCTCCTCCAGGCCGGGCGCCTGAGGGCGAGCAGGCTGGCGCGTCGGCACCAACATCGACCTCGAAGTTACCCGCAGCCTCAGCGGGGCTCCCGCGGGAGAAGGCTGCCCTGGGGAGGGATGGCGAGGCGGTGCAGGCGGGCGGCGAGGTGGAGTTGGCAGCCCCTGGAGGTGCCCCTGACGCTGGTCACCTTTCTCCGAAGGTTGTGGCATTTGCGGCCGAACAGCCTGGCGCACCACGTGCTGAAGGAGGGTGCGAAAGGCCAGGATGAGTGGGTTCGCAGGATCCCCCACAGCCCCGCCCTGGCGTGTCGTCGGCCGACGGCGGCGCATGGGCCAGGCGGCGCGCGGCGCTGGTTGCAGATGGCGAGAGTCTGCGGGGCGGAACCGCTGCTGCCGTGTCTGACCGTCGGCAAAGTGAGGCTGTCGCTTTCACGTCAGGTGTCTTGGCCGAGTTGAACAGGGTTACGGAGCAGCCAGGGCAGCCTTCCACGTTTGCTTCACTCCTTACTTTAACGCCAAAACGACGACTGCAAAAACCAGTAGCTATGTGTTTTGGTGGGTGGACTTTTTTCGCTCGGGCATTTTGTTGCGGCCACTGCAAGAGTCGGGCTCTTCTCCACGGCATCGGAGGGGGTTTGGCTATATTTCGGCTGAGCCTGGCCCAGGCCCGCAGGGTAAGCAAGGCATATATGATTGCTTATTCTTGCTTGTGGGACTGT